AGTACTGTACCTTTTGGCGTAAAACGGAGAGAAGCAGCCGCGTTCCGCACTCTCTCCTCTTAATTCACCCACCAGATTGCGAAATTTATTCAACGCCACGACGGGCGATCGATATATACCATTTTGCCAACTGTGCACAAAATCGCCTCAATGGTCAGAGAGATAAATGGCAGGCGGTCGATTTCTGTCTCATATTATGGAAATTGATTGTCTGGATAAATTTCCAGCGTAATTGAATGACCTGAATCGATTGAATTTATATTAATTTAAAGAGATAATTTCCTTTCTAAGTTTAATTAAACTCAGAAAGACAGTTTAATAATTGATTTAAATTATTAATCCTTGCAGGACAAGTTTTGGAACTCCATCGCAATCTTTTGGTTTATAAAACAATTAAAGAATAATTCAATTATAACTGCTAGTGAAAATGTACACCAAAGCAAAAATTACAATTTCTGCACATATTAATTATATAGATAGATATAGGTGATTAATATTATTTTATTATTTAGTTAAACCTTTGAACACTAAGCAAATTAACATTTTGTAATAATTTACGATTTGTTAATTTTTATTGTTTGTATTAATTAAAAAAAATTATTTAAAAAAATAATGATTCATAAAATGATAAAATATTTAAAACTGTAAAATTATCTTTTATAATTATTAATTATAGTTTAATTTTACGTTTAAATATTTAGTTATATACTCTTTTTTTGTTAATAAACCAATATCTGTCTACCGGAATCTCGGGTTAAAATTTATAGATCGCTTCATTTCCCGTTCGTCTGACATTCAAATCATGCGACCTGGACGCGTCTAGTAATTTATGGGCTCCCCTCGGCAACCCTCGTGCTCTTGACTGAATATTAAAAAATCACGCCACGCACGCACACGCAAGAGACTACTTACTTTTGAGGCGGAAAAATAACCTCTGGAAGAACAAAATCGTGAATAATAATAGCATTGTACCTCCGATTTATACTTCTTGCGTTTTCATTTGCCGCCGAGTAATTATTGTCGTCCTATCGCCTTAGTGAGAACTTTGCTTAATTTCTCAAAGCCACCAGTCTGCGACCAGCCGGGTCACGCAACAATAAAAACTGCCGTCGACATTTCAGAGAGGGTCTTGGTTAGAAAAATAATCGCGTGTCGAGAGCAGAGCGCGAAAATACACACACACGAATAAGTCTTCGGTCCATTCGGGTTGTTTATGTTCGGGCGCCCCCCAAGATGGATTCGTTTCGGAAGGCAAACCGAAGGGGACAAACTGCCCCGCCACCCTGGTGGTGCCGGGCGGACGCAACTGGTTGGTGCCATTTTAGCACCCCTGCGCAATTAAGCGGTCATGTGTGTACGTGGAGGGAATATACATTTGGATAATGGGCAGGAAAGGACAATTAATGTCCTTCTCCCGAGGCAAACCACCGCAAGTGGAAATGGATAATTTCCCCCAATTTTTACCTTCCGCTCTGATTGTAAAAGCAATTTTTATTAAAAATAATAGTGCAGAATAAACGAAATAAATTCTAAATAAATTTTTATTTGGAAATTCTGAAACTTTTAAATTTTAAAATCTTAGGGAGAGTCAGGAATGAGCGCAGAAACTTTTTTATCCAAAGCAAACACATTTAAAAAATTGCATTAAATATTATGAATTATTTTAAGCACATCTATTTATTTGACTTTTGCTTGATTAATTTCCACACACTTGAACTATTCAACCACAAGTCGTATTTTAATATTTGAGCGAATGGCCTTCTTGATTTCTCAAACCTCTCTCACACTCGGGGATTAGCCACTTGAGGAATCTAAATGGCCTTAAACAATTAACAAAATATAAGTAAAATAATTATGAAAGTTATCACATATATGTTATTATAATTAATTGAAATGCCCAAATAATGTACAAGTAATTTTAGCTACTCATTAAAATTTAAGATCAGTCTTAGTTTTTAATTTTATAAATACTTCTTTTGTCACATTTTAGTTAAATAGTTTCATAAATTTGGCGGTTTTTAAGTATTGTATTTACTTTTAATTATTCTCGATTTATTAATTTACTCGCATTTTACAATTTTTTTCAAATATAAAATTTTTGTGCCTCGCTTGATGAATGCACCACCCACGAAAGTAATATGTTAGAGCTTTTGAGTGGACGGCCTGCTCGAGTCGGCAAATCTCTGCGAGCCGCGACGAGTGCGTTCGCCACTTGAAGTCTAACGAAACGGCCGATTAACAAATTTACTGCTCCAAAGGTGGTGCACCCCGCCATCAGTCTGGCTTTATATTGCGTTCATATCGGCGAGATGAGCAAAAGCCGTTTTAAAAATAAAACCCGCAGCGATCTGTTGGCGTCTTGCAGCGAACTGACTCAGCTGCCGGCGAAGGATAAAAATAAAATATTAAAAAAGTAAATAAAGCCGATCCGAAAGCGACGGACGCCAAATTGCTTGAACGCAGGCCAGATGGGCGCTAAACGCCTCCCTCCAACCCGACCATCCGTTTTCGTCCAATTTTCGATAATTGGTTCGCCGTTTTCTCTGAAATTCGATCTGCATGCTCGGTTTCGCTGAGAAATTGGCCTCGTTTGTTGTCAGAGAGAAAGAGAGGGTGCGGAAAACGAAAACGCATCACGAACTGTGTTTTCAGGGGTGCTTTATTACGATGAGTTTCTTTTTTCTTTTATGAATCGGCCTACTTCCTTCCTCTCGCCCTCATCCCTGTGCTCACGCGACACAATGTGACGATCTCGTTTTACTGGCGAACGGGAAAAGCGCCCCGGAAGCTCCGACTGCATCGCTGCCCCGGTTTTATGCCCATAGGGAGTTTTTATTGCCCCAACCTTCTAGCTTTTCTAACAAGCGCCCTATTCATTTCAGAAATCATATCGCCACACAAAATGAGGTGATGAGCAAATTATTCTTGTCCGAGCTTATTAGATGGGTTTATTACTTTGTCAGATTACCAGATCAAACCTCAAAATAAGCTACGATGATTAGGGGGATGGGGGAAATAGAATCAGTGATCAATATTTTTTTTTTTTTTTTTAATTTTTTTTTTTGCTGAAAGTCAACTTAAATTTAATAAAAAAAGACTAAATTTAATATAACTTTTAAGTTAAATCACCTATTTGAGAATACAACTACCTATTTTTACCTAATTTCGGAATTGTCGCCATTAATAAGCTGTTTTTCAATTTACAATACCACCAAACATCACCTGTTTAAAAAAAAATAATAATAATTATTTTCTTTTAAACCCAAAATACATTAAGTTTGAAATACAAAATAATCAATTTTTGGAACCTCCTCAAGTGCCAATTTCTTCAATCAAATCACTTTTTTATCTGATTTATGGCTTTTTTCACCTTAAATTATTCATTGACCTGTTTTTCTCCCATTCAAACTAAAAACATCACGTAAATCGCTGAATGAAAAAGTGCATATAGCACCAATAAATTACTCATTTTGTCACGTCTATTGATAGTTTTGAAAAAATAATATTATTATTATTTAATAACATAATAGTATAAGTTTTCATACGCTTTACTATGTTTGTGCTGAAATGGTCTTCAATCAAATTAAAAATTGCATTAATTAAAGAAATAATAAATTCTCAAAGCGCGTTTTTGGCTTACGCTGTGCAAAATTTTCAATTAAATTTGTGCAAACACAAACAGACGCTATTTTTGCCTTCCGTTTTAAGTGGCACCACCTTGTCTTGTCCTTGGCATTGTTAATTTTTTTGTTCTTATTTGCCTGCCGACAGTGAATTGCCCCTCACGAAACGAAATATTCTCATTGTCTCTGGTGACTCCCTTGCTTTCTTTCTTTCTCTCTCCTATAGTGGTCCTTCTTTTCTCATTCTCTTCTCGGCAAAACGCCTGACTTTCAATTGAAGAGAGCTCTATGAGGCGCAGTGCGTGCTCCACTCATCAGACAAGCGCACCACCAGTTTTTTATTGCGCGCTTAAGCCCTCCGTGTTCATTTTCGTTGCTCCCACGCGACGAAGAAAGAGCCGCTTCCATACATCTCGCCAAAGATGCTGCGGCGCCGCCGCCGTCTTTCTAACCACGTACACACAAAGCCACCCTTTTCTGCACTCCACCGTTCGCCAATGCCGGAGAATGAAATCAATTATGAAATACAGAAGGGGCTGCGTGTTCGTGCGGCAACGAGAAAATTGCTCGGTCAGAAACCATAAAAGTGTAAACAAGAATTTCGCAAAAATTTTATTACCGTCATGCTTTTCTTTAGAAGGAATAAAAGAAAGTTTGAAATTTAATTATTCTTGACACAAATTAAAAAATAGAAATATGGAATCCCAAAAAATGTTTATTCCTTTAGAAAGCACAGATTTTCTTGGGCTTTGGGTGTAATCAAATTATTTATATCAAATATATCTTCTAAAATTTGAAAATGAAATTACAATAATAGGATTTATTTAGTTTATATTACAATAAATAATATTTTCTTTCTGAATCACAAAAATTAAATTAAAATTTAACAATAGTTGGCCTTGAAAATAAGTTTTAAAAAGTAATATTGCTTGATTAAAGGCAAATAATGGATTTTAATTGTGTTCTAATTTAAACTTTATCTAATGTATACAAAAAAATCTGTTTTTAGTTAGCTGTAAATTAAAGCTGTTACTTAAATTTCCATGTTGTTTAGTAAGCATGGTTTTTTTTTCTTAACAAGTTTGAGACTGTTTTTCTTATCCAAGAAGCTTGTCAAAATACTGTTCTGCTTTCTGTTGCTCTCAATTCCCTTTTCGCCGATGGAAAAAGAGGAAACCGAAACCGCCGCCTCCGAATAACCCAGGCAAATCCATCAAAGACTTCTCCAGTCGGGCGGAGGCGAAAAAGAGCGAATTTATCTTCCAAAAACACGCCTCCAAAGCGCACATTCCAAAACACTCGTAGTTTTTCCTGCCTTTCCTCGGAAAGCAAACAAAAAACAATCATCTAATTCAGAGTCGTTACGTTTGTTGACAGGAACCCTCGAGCCGCCGGCCACCGTCGGCACGTCCTCGTCCGCAGCGCCGAGCAACGCCACAATGCAGCACTACCCGTACTTGCAGGAAATGAAGGAGCGACTACTGCTTAATCCCGAAACGGACGGAACCGATCCCGATATCATGGAAAAGCCGGAACAGGTGATGGATACGGTCATCAAGGTGAGAGCGCCCCATGCAAAATGGTTGTTGCCTCCCCAGACCAGCTGCTGACATGACCCTACGTTGGTCGCCAACTGTTGTATCTCTCTCCGCATCTCTTATACATACATCTATTGACATTTTGTCATTTTCTACATAATACTATCGGAATTCCAACAGCACACGAATACACACTGCATGAATTAAAAAAGAAAGATCCTTTAAAAATCAATCCCTGCAACTGAAGAGCTGAAAGATGAAGCTTTGACAGCAAAATCATTTTTTTTATCAGATTTAATCAATTTAATTTACTGATAGAAAAATCACTAATCTGAAAATCTTAATTGATGTAAATAATATGTTATTTTCAAAATTTAATTTATTAATTTTAATTTATATAAAATCTATGTTATTTTTAACAATTAAATGAGTTCTTTTTCTATTTTTTACTGTTGAACTTATTTTAATTTACTGCTAGACAATTATTTTTCTTGCTTTGCGAATAAGCAAAAGTCCTTGTTGCAAAAAAAAAACGTCAGTATCAAATGTCGGCACTTCTGACTGAAACCAAAACATAAACACGGCGGTATTAACGTAGTGTGGGTGTCGAGTTCCATTATTTCTTCTGCGTATGAACAAAACCCACACCTTGAATGAAAAAAATAACAAACTGCTTTTTCACCGCAAACACAAGTTGCGAGAAAACCACGTGCGATGAAAAATACTTTTTATTAAAAGTCAAAGCTTCGTCGTTCACCGCTAGGAATAAAAATTTCCAACCTCCTCCAATCCTAGCCCGTTTTTCCCTTGGGAAACGAGCGAAGCCCCAGAAATGCGGCGTCGCTCTCAAGAGAGGGCCGCGCCGTAAATGGATTATTAGCATTCTGGCAGCACACAAATTCCGTCATGAGCCGCACGATCTTGGCGGAAAATCATGAGTGGAAATGGCGTTTCTCCTTTTCCACACCCAACTCTCACCCCCACCTAGTAGATTTTTTTCATGTACCTCAGAGATGGAATGCGAATGCCTTCAATGTTCGCACCCTCTCAGGAGTTTTTTAGATTTTAGAACCCTTATAATGCTGGAATGATTGTTAATCTCACTTTTCCAAATAATGACAATTTCTCACTCTTTTCATTTTTGGCCCAAAGTACTATTGATACTTTTTTGCAAGTCGGAGGAATTTGCTAACGACAGAGTGACAGAAGCCTTTGAAGGCTGGAATTTTGTGCTTCCGTTGCAAATGCAAAATAAGCAATATTTGTGGTCAATGTACGATATTTTTCTTTGCCATTTTTGTACAGTCATTCACTTGAAAATTCTTTGATCATGAATAATTTTCTTTTATCATAATCATTAATTTTGTCAAATCAAAATTCAACTTTCAAACTAATCTTTAAATAATGCATTCGATGTTTAAAACTTCCCTGGCTAGAAAAATGCGTTTTATTTTAAGTGAGTTGCATAAATCACTCTGAAGTGGAATTAATTTATCTCCCAATTAAGCACTAAAATCCAAATTAGCGCTTCTCGCCTGAGTCCTTTCCCGCACTTTCACCAACCCTTACACGCGCCCTAAATTTTCCGATTCCAAGCTCCGCGCAGAGAATTTCCATCGAAATGAGAAACTGCTTCCCATTATTATCCGTTCCAGCCTTAAACGTTCACTAATAAGAATTAATGTCCTCCAGCTCTATTCATACTCCTTCGCATTTTCTCTCGCTCCACCCCGAGCCCTTTTCGCTTCCTAAAAAAGGCGACCATCAGTGTGTAGACAGTGTTGTTGTGCCCGTGCGTTTGCTTCATGTGCATCTCTCCATCCATAACTCATTCTATTCAATTTCTACTCGACATTTGCAAAAAAAAATCCCACTACTCCTCCATTCGCTTTTTATATCAAACGCTTTGATCGATTTTATTTTCAAATCAGTTGCAAAATTTACTTTCTCTTTTATCAACTGGCTGCCGCTGAATTTCTCATTTTTCTCATTCAGATATTAATTAATTGATTTTATATCTGCTATGCAAATTACGCATGCGAGTGAAGCATCCAGCCGGACTGAATGCCAATCTTAGTGTCTTCTTATCTGTTCAAAACGGTACAGGAGCACACACCCGATTGGCGAAAATTCAGCAAAATTTCATTGAAACAAAATAAAAAAATACAGCATCTCTTTCTCTATCATTTTCGACTGACTTTTAAGAACAAGGCTGGGGGCCAACTTCTTGCTCCAAGTAAGGGGTTGCTCACTTTTGATGATTTCATTATTGTTTATTGAATAAGTTTATTTGTCTCGTTACTGGTATTATTGATTGCGTTACCTGCTATTGTTATTTACCTTTATTGTGTGACGCTTCAGTAATCAGTATCGCCTATTGTATTGTACATTCCTAACATAATTTACTTCATCGTTTCAGAGTAGAAAAGTAGTTGAAATTTTACCAAATCATTGAGCTTTCTTGAAAACGGAATAATAATCTATGCGACTGCAAAATTTTATGCAAAAAAAAAATTGAAATGAGTTTTCAAGAAAGTATCATCAAAGATTAACTGAAAAAAATAATTAGGTTTGGTGTATGCAAAAATTATTAATTTAAAGTTAATTTGTTTCATTTTCTATAAAAAAAATTATCAATGAGATAATCTCTTCGAATGGGCTAAATTCTTAATTTTTTCGAAAAATAAAAGTAAAAATTTCATTATTCAAAATCTTTTTTATCATTCACCAAGCCTAGTTTTGTTTTTATCCTCGCATTAGTGTAGTCCCTCCATATTCATATGTGTGCACTTTTTTTTGTTCCAATTCGTCAACATAGTTGGAGTTCCAAGCCAGATCAATAAGTTTAGTCGCGAGTTTTTCTAGACCGCCACCGAGTAGATAGGCAACACGTGTAGCGCGCCTGTGTGCCAGGTTGCCGAGCTAGCGAACAGAAGGCGCTCACTTGCATAGAGTGTCTCTCACGAGAAGGAGCGCCGTGTGTAAACAAATCCTCTTTTCCGCTGGGACACAAAGACGAAAAATACACAAACAAGTTTTTTCATTAATAATCGCAGCCGTCCCAGGCGAAAAATTAATTTTCCGCTCTCTTGTGCCAGATAAAAAGTAATCTCATCTTTTAAATCCGTTAATGCTTCTTTCGCAAAAATATGAGTATTTATATGATCTTGATTTGAGAAAAATTCCTTACATCTTTTTTTCTTATTCCCTACGAAATTATAAGTGAAAACTAGCGAATGTGTCATTCTGATCAAAAATAATTTCGGCTTCAATAGATTTTTTTACTTTTTATAAAAATGAAAAAAAAAAACATTTTTGAGATTTTATCTAAATCTTCTATTCTATTTTGAATCTTTTTTAATTGTCTTCGAGCAGAATTAGAAACCTTGTCTTCTTACAAATCTGAGCTGTCACAAATTTTCCATGAAATTATAAAGTTAATAAAAATTATGTCTTTAATTTTCTTTTATTTCTATGGAATTTTTGGAAATTAGCATCATTTAATTTTGCTTTAAAACGTCTTTAGTTGCAAATCAGGGACTTTTGACTTTTTGCAGCCAAATTTTAGCCTGAAAATTCTTCTTTCTCCAGTCAAGGTCTATTTTTCCGATGATATTTCCGATCTGGAGGCGCGCCAATCCCGCGCCTTTTCCTCTCTTTTGATGTTGCCTAATGACCTTTGGATTGCGTGCCACGCGCTTCTCTCTCCGACGCCGAAGACCTGTTGATTGATGCTCGCGCCATAATATTTTGCCCCGCAGGTTATTTCCATCTGCCCATGTATAAAACACGCATCCGTAGCAGCAAAGGTGTGCTCACAGCAGGAAATTGGCCCATTAAGGCCGCACACACAAGAGCACCGATCGGTAGTCAACCCTGTAGATGAATAGCCGCCTAATTGATAGCTAAATTTAGTCGTAGTATTTCAAAAGTGCACAAATTTTTACCACCCTCCCTTTCGGCAAAGCTAATGCGATCTTTCCAGTGAAGAGAGAAATGCGCGTTTCATCGCCGGCGGTGCTAATTTTGTTGATTCTCTGTGCAGTGCAACCCTGACGGATTCGGATCCCACACTTCGCCGACCCGCGCCGTTCTCTACAGGCCCGGAAGAAACGACGACGGCCCAATGCACCCCAAAAATGCAAAGTAAGTCGAGATGAATTAATTCATTTAGGTCAGAACTAAGTTAACAGGATTATTTAAAAAAAAATTAAATGCTTATTTAATAAAAAATATAAAATAATTTTTCTTTCCATTATTTAAATTATTTACAATTTTAAGATTTATTTTTAAAATTTTTAGTAATTAATCATTAAAATTTAGTATTTTGTAACAAAATTTTGATTTAATTTCTACGTTTATAATGATTAATGATTATATTACAAGGTATGTGGATATTATCTTTCCAAGTGCTAATAATTATATTTAAAATCGTGAACAAGAATAATGATTAAAGGATCTATCTGATACTTCGGTCTTGTTAACATTTTTCTATTGCATTAGTTCAACGTTAAATAATAAAATTCAATATTTTTACACTAAAAAATTGATCAAAAATTAAAATAAATTATCAATTTAATATAAAAAATCTTACAATATTAATTTCACAAATTTAATATTAATTTAAAACAAATGAACATTAATTAAAAAAAAAACATTTTCCTCAATTTAAATGCATTGTTTCCGTGGCTTGCAAATAATTTATCAACGCTTGACGTGCCTAACTTTAATGTGATGCAATTCAACACCGTCCACTCATTCATTCATCCGCGCGCACCAGATGACGATCATCTCGTCTTTCCCGCTCGTGTATTTATCATTCAATTGGCAGAAGGTCAAGTTGCAAAAGGTCAATGGTACGCGTGGAATTGGAAACTATCGCCGGCTTGGGCTTTACATGTTTTAATTTTATCAGAGCGCTGCTGCTGCTGCCTCGGATGGGTGGACGCAGCAGACCGTGATGTCAAAAAATAGTTGTAATTACGTTCGCCGTCGGAGCCCAGCGATTATTGCACAATGGGCTCCGTTTGTATGCCGTGCTGACTGAATGGCAGAGCCGAGTGAGAGAGACAATGACCAAGGGCGCTCGTGCTCTCTCGCTGCTGACCCAACTCGTTGCTGTGGGCTTGACTCTCTGCACAAAGCTAGGAAATGTGCGATTGTGAAAGTGGCAAATTGGGAGTGTTTACTTTTTCACGAGGGTGGTAGAGGGTTTGTTTAAAAGTTTGAAGCTTTACCGAAGGGTAAAATTATTTCTACTGACAAAAAATCATTTAATTTTGGAATTTAATGAAGAAAAACATTAACCATTTTTTATAGACTAATTTTCAAATGATCCATCTTGATGATTTTATCGGAAAATCGTGTTCATTTATTAAAAATTTATTTATTGATGGTGTTTAAATTTAAATTAGGATTCTCCTCGATGGAGTTTTGGAGTCGTTTATTGATAAAAACAAGAATTACAAAACAATAACTGACTTTACAAACCTCCGAGGAAAAAAGATTTTAATTCAAACACCACTATAATCAATTGGTCACAGTGAAATTTTACAAAAAATTTAATTTTTGATTTATTTAAATATCATTAAACAAATCTTCAATTATTCACTTTTATATTCTTTATGTAATTAATAAATCACGAAATTGACCCATAAAAGAAAAAGCCCTTGTTGAAAAAAGTTATTTCTGTCCTCTGGAATGGCAGAAACAGTCGACCCAGAACAATACAAGTACCAATATCAACAGCAGCGTGAAATGATTATGCACGCCGAACGCAATCAAAGTAAAAGTACATTTTCTGTCGCCGAAGTACAAAGGGCGCGTAAGCGCGCGTGCCTCGGCTGCTGGGGTCCAGCACGTGAGGGGGAGGACTGCGTGCACTACCCTCCTTCCCTCTGTTGCCAGGGGTGCATGAGTAAGGCGTGGCACTATCGAACCCGCTAGGGTGGCTGTGTGTGTGATAAGCGCCGCCGACACAGATCAATACACGGCGCGCAGCATCCCACACAGTGCTCCTTTTGCACTGAAGATGTCTCCACGAGGCCCGTGCGACCCGTCGGGTTCTCCGAAGCCCCAAAACCCCAGTTTGAGGGGCCGCGGGAGCCCCGCGGGGGCTCGACCGAGCCTGAATAAAATCCCCCCAGCCCAAAACAATTAATTATGCACCGAATTGCGGCCCGGGCCGGCCGCACTCGAGGCAGGCTGCACCGCCGATCGGCCAATCGACGGCCGCCGCCGCGGTCACGTGACCCAACCCGGGTCCAGCAGCATCTCTAGCGAGCGCAGACACGGCACCCCCGCCGACTTGGGCCGCACATTCTGAACGAGGAGGCTGCGGGCGCCGCAATTCCTCCAGCGGAGGCTCCTGCTGATTGTCCCCCTGTGTGTTTTTGTGTCCACTCTGTACTGCAGTTTTGCTCCTTCTCTCTCTCGCCTTTTTTGAGAGAGAGAGAAACAATTTTTCCGCGCGCGTGTGAGAGTCACGCACACAGTCGACGGATCGGCTCCGTTGATTGATTCGCACTCGGCAGCACCGACCGAGTATGGGAAAGAAGAAAAACCCCGAGATCCGGATTGCGACGGTGGAGATGGAGAGAGGACAGAGTGAAATGGCCACCTTGCCCGCGGGCCACCGGGGCGTCGGCACGAGCGACGAGGCCCCCGAGAAGCACAACGACACCAACCGAGAGATGGAGGCCCGCCTCGAGTCGCCGCTGAAAAGGTTTACCTTTTGCCACTTTTCAGTGTTTTTTGCATTCGTCGGGCGAAACAAAATTTACTACTTCCGGTTCAATTTATATATTTGCATTCGGAGAGATAAGTGGCGGTATGTATAGTGAGTGAGCTCCTCCCTGGTATTGATTCAGCCATTCAATAACATAATGTCCCGGTCTCGTCGGTCGGTAGGTCGGTCCCGCATCTTGCCGAGAGAACGAGGAAAAATAAATAGTCCGGCGGAGAATGCTCAGTAAAGGCGCTTTATTAAAACACGTACACGGCAGAAGCCCGGTAGATACACAAACACCAGGGAGCAGAGGCCAATGCCACCAGACAGTGCTGGAGCTTCTTCACACAAAAGCGCGCTATTCTATATTACGGAGGAGAAAAATGACACACGGTCGGTTTCTTAAGAACAAAGCGAAGACGTGATTCAGCCAATTTTCTGCTAAATTGCAATATAATTAGCGCGGTTTCCTTGCAATTATTTTAAAGTTCAAAAGTGTACTGGCCAATTCAAAAACAGTATTCATCTTTTATTACTCTAATTAAAGAGAAAAATATCATTAATTTTTCTTTTAAAAATATTTTCTGTCACGTTTGAATCGATTTAGTAAACGTTTAAGTAAATTGCTGGAACACTTGAAGTTTTAAAATTGATTTATAATAGTTTCTAAAGACTCAAGTTAGTTGTTTAAATTGCTCCCAAATTGCAGCTGCCGCCCACATTAATTTCTCCAGCAGGCCTCATTATCCATTAAAATTGCCTTAACAAGGCCCCTATTCTTAAGCGGAAAATGATTCAATCGTGCCTAGAAAGGATAAAAAGAAACAGCTCTGGCCCGTCCATCAAAAATCGTTTTTGAGATGCTTCCCAGAAGTACGAATGTTTTGACTGCCGCGAGCTAGTATCAGCAGTTTTCTTCAGACCAAATCTTCAGGCAATTTTTTGCTTCATTCCCACTTGACTGCTGAGTTATGATTTGTCAATGGCCCTGGCTCGTAAAAAATTTATTGTTCCGACGAGGGGAGCGATGTACGGTGATGAAGATTTATCCCCGACATCTCCCCGAGCCAATTTTCGCACCTAGACGCAGACGATTTTTCTTCTCACCCGCAGTCAATGTTCGGTCTTTTATTATTTCTCTCTTCCACACTCGAGAATTACGCATTCTGGCAACAACAGTGTTTTTATCGCGTGTCCTAAACCACCCTCCTTTCCTTAAGGACATCCCGTTAGCCGTTAAAAAGATATAAAACTAGAATACTGCGGCGCACTCTCTCTGTAATCGGGCAGTTCGCGAGTTAATTTATTTTTTTCCGAGCGGCAAATTGGTGTGGCTAATGGTTAATAGACCGACTCCATTATTCTAATACTTTCGATTGCCGCCAGAGTTGCTGGCGCGGCTAATTACGCCGCCGGTCATGCATATTACAAAAGTGGCCGCTACATCCTCATTCCGCCAAATTTATCGCCCTGGTGCCGCGTGCATGACCGCTCATTAATTTTTCAATTGCAATAGCAATCGCCGGCCACTCTCAAGGGTGCAAGAAAGCCGGCCGGACGCTTTCTATTTCAGTGGCAAAAATCGATCGCCACAGATTGAATCTCGAGACGACACCGATGTTGAGACAAAAGGGTTGACATTCATTATTCACTGTTTTGATCTGCTCTTGTTAGGCGAGCAATTAAAAGCCGAGAAGAGAAAGGCTCGGTGTCAATTGGCGTTCCAGTCTTTTCTGCGCGATGAATGGCGAACCATTGTGCTCTCGGGCAAATGCCATTATTCCAACCCGGCGCTACGCCATGTGCTGCCTGCCTCGTTTGCTTTTTTCGGTTTTTATTATTCGAGGAAGTTTACTCGGGGGGCAGAAAGACGGCCGCGCCACGAATGTATCCCCCCGGTCGTGACGGACGGAATTTTAAAGCGAGATTTTGAAAAGGAAAGGAATGAGGGCGCCCATGCGGGTTTCTCATCTTCTTCTTAAAGATGGAGTAGCGTGGAGAGATCATCTGCAAAAGTTATGCAACGCGCACGACACGCAGGTCCACCTGGATGCGGACTATGGATTTTTGCATAAAACTTATAACTTGAATTTTGTCAGAAAAAAAATTCAAATCTGAATAAAAATATAAATATTTTTTAATTTCTTATATTATATTTTTAAATTTGCACATTATATGATTTTCAAAAAGAAGGTCACTTCTTTTTTTTTAATTCTGATAAATATTGATCAGTTTTTGCAATTTAAAAATCACATTCAGAAATTCCTTTATTTTGAATTTCTATTAAGCTTTCAAGCTTCTCTCTTGATCGCATCCCATTCACTTGTGTGTTTCGTCTTAATTAACTGAAATTTCAATTGAACTGCGGGTGAAACTTTTCAATTAAGACCGTCGGCACCGATGAATACGTCTCTAATTGCAGCCATATTTCATGTTACAAAACAGCTCGGTGGCGTGTAATTAAATTCTCATTGTGCGGCGGCAGGGATAAAATTAGCCCGCTGCCGAGAGATAGAGCGATGAGAGCTCAAGTGCAGCTTCCTGGCCGCGTAATGCCAATATTAATGACACAAGTATAAGCAACTATAGCACTGCTGCACAGGCAAATTGCCCGTGATGGAAGAGAGTTTTTGTCTCTTTGACTGTGACTGTACTGGGCGCTGCACATTACAATCGGTTCTCTAAACGAAACCACGTGACGTTTGATTTGGTCCGCAGTGCGTATCTCTCGCGCTCAGATGCAGCCGCGATAATGTTCTATTTTGTACACGCATGCACGGGCTGCTTGGTGCCTAATTGAATTTATGGCATCCACAAAGAAGACGGCGGCGCAAGGGCCTCTACAGCGCGGGATTTAAAGAGCTGATGTGTGTGTGTGTGTGCATACGCATCATAACCACCACACACACAACTTTTTATTTCTCTGATTTGTCAGCAGCACAGCCGGCTGGGCCCCAAAGCCTTCCGAGTGGTGTTGGATTCGAGTCGTAAAAATTCACGCCAGTGAAAACAATTTTTAGCGCCCCCTTGTTTGACTCTCTCTTTAACAGTGTTTGTGTCCAGGATGAATATATTTACAAAAACAAAAATAGTATTAATAATATGAATAATAAAACAAAAGTAAAGAAAACTAAAAATAAATTACATGATATATTATATAAAAAAAAATAAGCTTCAAAAATTCCTGTACCTAAATTATTTGAAAAGCTGAAATATAAATCAGATTTTTTAATTGATAATGAGGGTGGCCTAGAGCCTAATTTTCTCATTGTCGGAACAAAAGTTTAATTCGTGGAGAGCAACAATATAAATTCAGCGATAAAAATTTTGAGTGCGGAAGTTAGAATTAAAAATTAACGAAAGAGCTAAAATCAAATTTGAATTCCTTAAGCCGCTGTCCAGCTGTAGCTTATTTTCAGGCAAGATTAATCTCTTAGATCGCCCTCATAAACTTTCAATAATTTTAAATAATTTCATTTCAAAACTAATAATTTTTGCAAATAAATAGCTAATTTTACATTAGAGTATTCCCTAAAGAAAATTTGATTAATAGAGACTTGTTTTTGGTTTGTCCTTCTTATTTTCTTTCATAATATATATTTAATTCAGATAATTATCAAGCATTTCTATCAGTATCATCTGCAAGAAAAAAATGTTGAAATAATTCATTTTTGTTCTTTATTCGTGTCCTATTGTTGAAGTCATATTGTTTACATCTTATTATAGTTTTTTCTGGGGGAAACAAGAAATTGTTGACAAGCGGAATTGTTGGAATAGGAGCACTGGCAAGAATTATTGTTCATGAATTGAATTTAAATTTATTAGAAGATTTACTATTTGGGTAATTAAATTTTCATATTTTCACATCTCCCCCATTTATTTTTCAATATATTTGTGAAAAATGGTTTACAATCCAACTCCCCGTGGTCGTCACTCGTCGACTCCATTCGAATCCCTAGCGTGTAATTCTCCATTGAATGCCGAGTGTGTTCGAGCCACCCACGATTACACATGATTATCATTCGAGAGAGAGGGACAGACGGATACTCCAATAAAAGCAGCGTTTTCCACCAACTAGTCCCGATCAAGCAGCGTTCGCACTACTTGCAACACCGCGAAATCGCTCTCCACAATAATTATAACCGGAAAACTTTCCGGTCCATTGACCTTTCGCTCCTCTGGTGCTTTTGTTTGTTTTCAATTTCAGCTTGGAACGAGCGCGCGCCGAGGTGTTAATTTTCCGCACAAACACACGCGTCGCCGCCGCACTCTGGGATCATGTTAAAATAACACTTAACGCCGCGTTTGCCCTTGTTGCAGGACGTCTTTGTTCATTGTCATGAGTTTCATCTACGCGAAACTTCTTGTGGTGGTGTGCATCGCCTTCCAGATCTCAGAAGTGGTCACCCACAATGTGCCACTGCACTACTACGAGGTGAGTGTTTCCTTCTTTCTTTTCGCTACGTTCGATCCGATGCCTTTTTACCGGCAAATCCGCCTGGGATGCGCGGAAAAAATTCCATCACGCTGATGGAGTTTTCCTCGCACTCGTTGCGAGGAGGAAGGCAAAAGCCGCCTGCGTCGCTTGATCCGGGTGGGATTTGCACTGAGGACTTTTATAGAATTTTGGAGCGGGGAATTTGCTGAACGGCTTTTTGCCCGATTGGTTTTCACTTTTTTGCGGTTTGATCAATTTTGTTAAAGAAATTCGTGGATTAATTTTGGTTCCTATTACTGAATCCATTTTAGCCGAATTGTTCAATTTTCCGATCTTGTACTAATTTTAATTTTTAAAATCTTATCAATTATTTAATCTGTAAATTTGTTTATTTCTGTCCGAAAATTTAATAATTTTAACATATTAATTAGCATTAATTAATAATGTATTGTATATTCTTATGTAGTAGTTATTCAATACTTTTTTATTCAGAATAATAAGAAACGCAACAAGTTTTATAATTAAAAAAGGAATTATCAGTCAATTGAGATTTATTATTTACACAACAGTTGACAACTTACTAATATTATTTTGTTCAAATAAAATCATTCTTTTTTTTACACAATGACTAACAGAACTATATAAAATTAATATTTTAAGTGCATTAAAATTTTTTGGTCTTTATTTATTATAATATTAATTTTAGCAATCTAATCTAAAACCAATTTTCATTGATACTTTCATTTTTAAAAAATTTAAATATTTTTTTTTTTCATTGTATGTTAAACTTTAAAATATTTTATTGAAAAACAAAGAGATTTCAAGAGACTCAGAAATAAAAATTTTATCATTTAAAATTTCTAGTAAATTTTACGCTGTTTTACGCCACGCATTAAATCATATATGATGATGGTGCAAACACACCATATTATCTGAGAACAAAGTTGAATCAATTTTTATTATATGAACTTCAAATTTAAAGTCCCTCAGGATAAAGAATTTCAATTTAAATTCCAGGCATTCTTCACGTACTTGTACAGCGCGAGTATTCTGTACCTCCTGTACGTGTTCTGCTACCTTCTCACTGGAAACGGTCGTCCTGAGCGACGACCACCCCCAAAGAAGAAGAAGGAAAAGAAGGAGAAGAAGAAGGAAAAGGGCGCCGACGACGCCTCCTCGCCTTCGCAGGCCCAAAAGAACAAGGGCGCCCTGTTCCAGGTGAGTGACCTGCCCTTTCGCTACTTCTTTGGTGTAGCAAATTTTTTTCTCGTGCTGAGCAAAAAAAAAGATGTGTATAGAATGAAACTTTGCAGACGCCGTTCAGTTTTTCATATATATGTGTTTATTTCATTAGCTCTGTGCAAGCGAGTTAGTTTTTCGCACCCCTGCGCTCCCCTGGCTCGCGTCAAAGAGAATTGGCCTCTTTTTTTGCGCGCACTTTTCTCTCTCCTGCTGTTGTAAATAATATAATTGAAGCGCGAGCAGCAAGCTTGGCCTTTTGCCAGAAAGTGTGTGCGTGCCTCCCTTTTGTCAAGCGGAATGAGAGAAGCACCATTGTGAGGAGAAAAAGAAGGAAAACGAGGAAAAGAGCTCATCCCTGCGCGTACAATTTCCCACTTTCGCTCTCTCTCGTTTGTATATTTGACATCATTATTTTCGCCCCGAGAAATAATGTACCCTCAACACAAGTGTCTCGAGGTTGGCATCAATTCGCCCCTCAAAACGCTCACCCGAATTAGGACGATGATAATAATTCCCAGCCCCTTTCACAAAAAGTCAATGGTAACGAGTATAGACCTTGGCAGACAAAAGAACCCAAAGCTTTCATGGCTGAGCTTTCCATTTACTTTTGTTAGCCGGCCAGAATTAATTTTTTACTTCATATTTTTAAGAAATTGTTTTTTTTTTAATTTTGGTTTTTGTATTTAAAAATTTTGATTTTTAAACCTGCTTTTCTTTTGTTATCCTCTTCTTCTTTTTGGTTCAATTGGTTGGTTTTGCACCTCAGCAAGAAAGCTACCCCCGCAAGAAGAAACACCAAATGCGGCAGCAGCCAGGGTCGTCCGCCTCCCCGCCTCCGGTAGTCATAACCTCCGGAGGCGGGAGGAGCCCTGACGGCAGGGTGAGTTTCTCGTCTCTGCATCCCCTGGGAGAAAGACATCAAATAGACACAAAAACTTCTTGGTCACACAACACAAAACCTGTTCATAAACAGTTGAAACACACACAGGACTAATCTGCATTATTTAATTTGAGCTCTGACACGTACGAGAGTTTGAGAACTTCACGCCTGCTCTGTGCTATGCTTGTTAATATTTAATCGAGTGCTTAATTAGTTCCTTCAGCTCTTGCCACTCTCTGTCCATTTTCACTTACACATTAGCAAGAGAGGACCTGTAATTAAAATTTTTAATTGGTTGCAAGAAAAGTGAATTTAATTACTCAATTTTAATAATGAAAAGAGAAGAATATTTTTAATTTCAATTCATTGTGAAAACAATTATTACAGAATTCCCCCAAAACTTCAGAGACTAATTTGAGACTTCTTTGTAAATAATTTAGAACCAAAGGCAATTTTCCAATTTCTTCCCCCTTCCTGTTTCCTTCAAATTTCTTTCTTTCTCTCTTGTGTGATTTTCGCTGCTACTCCTTTCCTTCATCTCCACGCTATCAAAACTGCATGACGTCCGTTTTTATTATTGATAAGCGGCACGTGCGATTCGCTCGCTAGTATTTTCAGGAGCGGTCCGTGTAGCACGGCCTCTCCTCAAAATATTTACCAAGCATTAAGAAAAACGATGTTTGCACGCCTCAAATTGCCTCTTCTCTCTCGCATCATCACCGCCATCAGCAGCAGCAGCTCCTCGCCATCCTGTTCTGTATTCAATTATGCATACACGGGGGGCATTGGCGAACGAACACATATAAAAGAGTGCGTTTCGAAACACATACATGCGCTCCATCCATCTCTTCTGCTGAATGTGTAACTCGGCCACATACATGCATAATTCTTTCCTGCTCGGTCGTATGTAAAAAATTAAAATGTCCTGGCTGGAATTGGCACAATTCGCCACCGCCGCCGTTTCCCTGCGTGCATAATGCATGAAAAAAAAGTTTGTCCGCACCAGCAGCCCCGCACTCGACGGCTAATCTGCATCCCTGCTCGAGTGGCTTGGCTGGTCGCATTCATCATTCATTAAATTTTTCCGTTTCGCATGGCGTTTTCATTCTTTTATCGTTGGTAGTTCTAGTTGCATTTCATATGTATAGCGATAACGGCTGGGTAAACGCCCGACTTTTCGCTCTTGGCTTCTCGCTCTGTGGTGTTTTTTTAATCATGTAAAAAAGATTTAGAATTTCATACCATGCTAAATTATGCAATTCTCCAGACCAGAAATTCAGGAATATTTTTTTGTTTTGTTAATAATTAATTTACCTAATTAAATCATTTTTATCAACTATATTTTGGAAGTTATCTTTTCAAAAGTAATTTTGAATTCATTTAAAAAAAAATTATTTCCTTCTTGTTTATTCAAATCTAGTCATTGCATAAAAATAATAATATAGAATAAATCAAGCTCAACCCCTTTACTATTATTTATGATTGTGTTAATGTTTCAAAATTATAATTTATGATATATCAGATAATTTACAAAAAAAAAATCATCTTCATTAGTATGTTTAAATCCAGAATTTACTTTTGTACGAGTTGCATATTTGGCTTGTTGGCTTTTCATTCAAAATGTAACAAGCGAGTAAAACAAACAACCCGGCCGGCGTGAAATTGATTTTGGATTCCGCTCTGCGCGCTGTTGCAGGGTCAGTTTGGAAAGGAGGGCAAGGAAGGTGTCGACTCGGGCAACGAGACCGCCGCCAGCCCACTGCAGGAAAAGGGCAGCAGCCACGACCTGCTGGAAAAGCCACGCAAGAGGAAGACCTCCGAGAGCGACACTGGACACGGATCCTTCTTCCTGCGCGTTGGTGCTATTGGTGAGTTTCACACTTTGATCTATTTTTATAAAAATTATTTATAACTTAACAAAACCTCCATTTAATTTTCATACTATTAGAACATAATGAAGTGCAGAATTAGTAATACAATTTTCAAATTATTGATGCACCAATAGCGCAGTTTGAAGTTGAAGTTTCTTCAAAAGAATAGAATCATATGAAGCGAACAGGTTATATTTTATAAATTTCATTGAATCATAAAAAGTATTATATTAAATTTACGCAAGTACGAAGAAAAATTTTGAACAAAAGTATTATTTGATTTAAAAAAAATTAAATATAAATTAAAATATTTAAAAATCAAACAAACTTTACACAAATAAATAAAGATATTAAATTTTAATTTTAAATGAACAATTCATTCAATTTATATAACAAAATTTCTTATTAAATTGTTTACATTCTCATTAATAATGTGAAGGATCAATGATTAAATTGTTCACATTAATTAAAATGTGCCGGTGCAGCACTCTCTCCTGCGCTCTATTCATTGTCACCGACCCTCTTTTATCTTCTCAGTCACCGCCACCCCGATTCTAGGACAATAAAAACTGGGTTACTCTAATTGCGCCGCTCGTTATTATCCTTTTTCGGTTGTGCGCCTCTCTCGCTCGGCAAAAAAGTAGTGACGACGGCTGCTGAAAACGAAAGCTGACACCCTCTTGCTTCATTCATTTGTGTGTGTTTTGCTTTGCCACGCCGTGGCTTTTATGCAAAAAAAATATACAGTGTACGTCGTGGCGTTTATTTTTACCTCTTCTTCCCTTGTGTTTGGGAAAAAGCGGCGGAAAGGGACAAAAAGCGCTAAAATCCACTCGCGTGCCATTATTCTCCTTCCTTGCTTTTTCATGTGGCAAAGGCGACTGCACTTTTTCTCCGGAGAACACACACTCCTTTTATACTTGCCTGATATTTTTTCCTGTGCGTAAAGAACAACCCTATAAACAAGCGGGGACTGGAAATATTTAACGCACTCGACGTCGTTTTATTATTTTTTTCCTTCGCCGGTTATTAAATTATCAAGTCCCGCCGGCTGCAGCTGCGTATAATTTTTGCCAAGCGCAATTTTTCTGTGGCTTGTTTGCTGGCGCTGAGCTGCTGTATGAAGGGCGCGTGCCGGATTTTCCCCTTCAATGGTGCAGATTAAGGGATTTTCACCGGCCTATACCTATCGATGTTGCTGCGTCGACAGCACACACAGTTCTGCACTTGGCTCGATATTAATCAAAGTCGCTCTCGGAGCCGCCGAGAAGAAAATCTGCTAATGACTGCCGCCGGCACGCGCGCCTTGCTGTGCATTCTGGCGAAAATTCCAATGTCACTCTCATGCGTGGCCGTCTTAATTTGCCTCCATTGTCAAGTTCAAAGCGGGCTGAATTTAATTACGAAATTAATTTCGTGTTCGTTGTACATTAACTGCCTCGTTCGCTTTGAATAATCTCTAGAATTTTGAAATTTAATTATTTTAGCTGCAAATTCAAATTTTTTTCATCTCATACCGTCATTCGTTTTAATTTCATAAAACGCTAAGTCAGGTTGGCCGTGGTAAAAGGCTAAACGTATATGTCTGGTACATTCAGCTGTAAAGAAATTTATGTGAACGAGTAAACATGCAAAACATAGAAGCGTGGAGTGTATTAGGTTGTTATGCAGCTCCGCTCCTGCGAAACGAGACTGGCGTAGTGGCGGTTTTTTTTAGAGAGGTGGGCAACTTGCAAGTGTCTCGTTGACCCCACATGCGACCTTGCATGCTTTATTAAAAATCCTCGCAAGACTGGATTATTATAATCATGTACATGTGGGGTTAAAATTAAACTCTTCCCGGTTTTCCATCTATTAAAATGTTTTTAGTGTCTAAATTTCAACTCCCTTTTATAAAAATGTTTCTCTACAGTTTGCGATATTGATACATTTGTTTTGAAAATTCAAACTTTGTTCAACAAAAATTTAATTAAACATTAAACCCACTATAATTCTATAGAAATGATAAATTCGTACTATGTACAAAATTATTTGGATTTTTAATCAATTCTATCAATCTTAATTGAGCTTCTTTATAAAATTTTGATTTTAATTAGATGCTCAAATACAAAATTGACAAAACTTTGGAAAAAATTTAAATTTTCTTCGTGTTTCTTTATTAGTTGTTTATAGCAACTGAACTGATTTAGCATTCAATTTAATTAATCTCCAATTTAAGTTCAACCTGCCCTCAATAATAAATGAAGCAGTTTGAAAATCCTATATTAAAATTTTCATTCCCTTTTTAAGAAAAAAAAAATATTCTGAACATTTTTTTATGTACAATTCAAAATGCTAATTATTCCCCCTTCTACCACCAATTTCACATCAAGTGCCCAACCTTTCAAAATGAGTGACGCGCATTTTTTTATATCATTTATGGAAAGAGACGTGCCGGTTTCATCCCCGAGCATGAAACATGAAAAAGTTGAACGATTGCGTCGGTAGCTCGCTCGAGTTGGTCTCTTTCTCTCTCTCACTCGAGTCTGCATGATAATAAAAAGCAGCCCTCCACGGATATTAAGGGATGCCGCCGCTTTGCAAGTTGTTGCTGCGGGCAGGAAGCCAGGTGGGTGGGTTAGTAGCTCGAAAAATTGCAGGCCTTGCACGGCAGATAAGTAGTGTGTGTACGCGCTCGGGGTGGGTCGGTCGGTGGGTCGGAGCTCTCGACGAGTGAGGAAGGACTGCTAGGGCGTCGCACACGGGCAGCTCCAGAGCCGCCGCCTCGCGGGTCGATACACCCTGATGCTGAGAATTCCACCCTCCGGTCGCCATGGCGACCGCACATCCACCCGCTCGGTCTCTATGGCAACGCACTGGGATCGGCAAACCATACCGGGAATGCTATAAATGCGTTTGGACACATCCAGACGCTGCCGCCCCGCAATTGATACCGGACCGGCTCCTGTTCAATTTTAATCATAATGAATGCGTCGCGGTGTGCATCGTTGAGTAGATGAGGAAAAAAATCTTCACCCCTTTTCGGCACCGCGGCCGCATCGATTTTGCAGTAAATCTGCCAGGCCAATAACGAGAGTTGGCTAAGGAAGTAGTGCCCCGGGAAGTCGTAATTCAGAGGCAGGCCGCCTGCTCTTTTGGGTTTTGTGAAACGCAGCGTGGTCCTGCAGACTTGAATTGGGAATTAATTCGAATCTGCAGTGGGGTTTGCTTGGTGACCCAAGAGGAAAGTAAATGATTCAGATAAAAAATTAATTAAAAATATATGCAAACGGTTCTAGATTAAAATTTACCGAAAAATTATTTTCTTTGGTTATAACTTAAATTATAACAAAAAATTCAATCAAAACTTGCCTCCTATAATACAGCAATTTAAAAAAAATACAGTAAGATTTATCCTGGATTTAGCATTAAAAACAAGAATTAAAAAAAAAATAACCTCTTTACAGAATAAATTACATGAAATATTATAATCTTGCTGATTTTTTATTTTTCAAGCAACTGTGACTGAGCATGAATGTTTCTAATTAAAATTATACTTCAACATGACTCTTTGAATCCAAAATTCGGGCTTGGAGTTTGACTGGAAAGCACTCTTTATTTTGCATCAACTCTAACGACACGAGTTCTTCTTTCACCCACTGCACACGAACCTTTATTTGACAAGAAAAAGCTTCTAAAAAAAAGACTTGTAAAGAACTTCTTTATTACAGTGCTTTTCAGCTGGAAAATGATCGATGGATTTGTTTAGATTTTTGACAACGAGCCAAAACCGAATACTGCACCGAAAGGCGTGCAAAATATTCATGATAATGACGCCTGCTGAAAATCTGTATGCCATTCCCATGGGACCAGCAGTGTTGGTGTTGCCAACAACGTTTAAAATAATATTCTACCATGTTTAATCATGTAGTATAGTTTGCAGAAAATTTAACTGCGCGTGTGTATTTTAAAGTTTTACGGCCGTGTAACGCAGCAAGTGGTTAACGCAAATGGTGCTCTCTAGCCTCGGCAGCGTTCAAATTAACGAGCGTGTATGTTTTCTACGGAACAGCGCCCAAACAAAACATAAACTCTACAGATGTCTCTCGTATTAATTTATGCGCGGTCGTCCCCTTAATGCATTCTCTTTGAAAGAATTGTGTCATTAATGTTGCATCAAATCCTGGTAGCACTTTAGCGAGCACTCAAACTTGTGCCGCGTTTTTGCTCACAGCTCACGCCACCCGAAAAACCATAGAATCTGGCAGATATGCAGTGCGAGGGCAAAAAGCGTAAAGTCACGAGTGGGCAAAACTTGCTGACGTTTGAAAAAGGCCGTAAAACTTCTATGTCACTGGAAGAAAGTTACGACCCAAAAAGCGTATCATCAACAGATAAAAACAAAATAAAACTTTCAGGCGCCGTAAAAATCATAAAACTAAACAAAATTGATATATCTTCACAAACTTCGAATTCAATTTTTTGTGAAATTTTGATTTCAGCCTTCGGTCTGGGCACCATGATCTACAACGGACTGGAATTCGGCTCCTGGTTTGAGATCCCGCAATACTCGGACTGCTACTCGGTGCTGAGGGGAGCCAACCCCGTTCTCCAGATGATCTTCACCTTCATGCAAATGTACTTCATCTTCATGAACTCGAGAGTGAGTCCTTTCTTTGTATTCTATTCTCGTGTTTGTCTGTCACTCGAGAGAGTTCGCAGCTAAAATATTTGCATGCGCGAGGTAAATGCGTGTAAAAGCCATTTGAAAGCGCCATAAAGTCCTGCCTGGCTCGCGGCCATGCACGATAAGCCATTTGTTATGGATGCGGGGGATCTGCAAAAATTTACGTCATCGTTAAACACAGGCAAATTGGCGCTAGTACAGAGGCTTATTCGTCCCCGGTGACAGATCAATTTACTCTGGCAGCGTCACCGAGAGCGAAATAAAAGTCCTTTTGCAACACGCATGATAAAAATTTATAATAAAAAAATTGTGTAATTTTCCAGCTCAACATTCACCGCTTCAAGGTGATCTCCCGCTTCGGTTTGATGCACGTCGTCGCCACCAACATCTGCGTCTGGATTCGGACGCTGGTGCTCGAGTCTCTGAAGGAGGTGTCCGCGTGGAAGATCCGCCAGGGCGAGGACGGCGTGTCCGAGGACTTCATGATCCTCGAAGGACAGCGATTGATGGCCAAGCGTCGTGGAGAGACCCCCGACTACATGGCCAACATCAACAACTTCATTAATGACCTAATCAAGACCGCATCTAAGCAGTTTGACAGTGAAGAGGGCTCAACCTTTGCCACCGAGGACACGACTGTCATCCCGGCCACCACCACCCAGCTGAGCTATCTCGAGGCCGAGGGCTTCATGTCCAGTGAGTTTCTAGTGATTTTTTTATCCAATACAATTTATTGCCTTCTTCGATTATAATTAATTGAGATCTACTAAATTTACATCACAAGTTTGATAATTTTTTTTTTTTAATTTTTTACACCTAAACTTGGCATATTAATTTACAGAAATGATAAAAGGTTCGCACGAAAAAATTAAACTGAGATACTAAGAACTGAATAAATTATTTAAAAAAAGATTAATTTAACTTTTAATCATAAAAAAATTATTGCAATATTTTTATTTTTATAAATATTTTTGGAAGAATTTTTTTAATTTTTGATTTATTTCCACAGTTGAAAAGAATCACTCGGACTACATCCACCCATCGAACTACTCTTGCGGCCGCATCAACATCATGGGCACCATCGTGCAAGACTCGGCTCCCTACCTGTATCCATTCATTATTGAGTACAGCTTGATCGGAGCAGCCGTTATCTACGTCATGTGGTCTCGCATTGGACGCAATCCAAGGTGAGTGATTCGCCCCTTATTGCAGCCCTTTATCTGATTATGGTTTTAATGGAACCATTTGTCATGACAGGTACATGTCCTGCGACGAAGAGGAAGGATTGATGGCCCCCGTGGCCATGGTGCCCGTTCGAAGAATCGACAACGGCCGCGTCGACTGTGTGGGTGCAAGCAAGGGCCTGTTCTTCGGCCTGCTGCTCTTGGTCGGCTCGCTCATCTGCCTGATCCTCTTCTTTGTGCTTGTGCACCATCGGGATCTGGGCATGCTCGCCATTTACCTGGCCGACGTCTCGCATTGTGTGGTGCTCACCCTGGCGCTGCTCGCCATCTTCATCGGTTTCTGCCGGTATGAAAAAAAAATGCAATTTTTTTCCATTAATTACATTTAATTTTTTCAGAGTGCGAAGTCTCAAATTCCACATCGACTCGACCAATATTCTGAACGATATTCTGCTGCGCGTCTCTGCATTTGGTCTTTTCATCTACGCAGTGTTCTCTGTGATTGCTGGCTCGTTGTCTGCATTCACTCATGAACCCAACCTTCTAGTCATGGTCACCGGCATTCTGGTCGTGATTGAGGTAAGTGTGAAATAAATTTAATACGAGAACAGTGTTTGAATTGTTTTAATTCCTTCAGGTTGTTTTCCAACTGCTCTTCATTGCCGACGTCTCCAGGCGCCGCGTGCATTTGCCTGAGCATGAAAGGACTAAACCAGGTCGCCAGGTGGTCACTTTCCTGCTGATTTGCAACATCACCATGTGGGTCATCTACACCTTTGAAGTGCAGAAGGTTGGCGCCAACCCCGTGCAGGTGAGATTAGAAACATGCCCTAAAATTATTTCATACTGCACCGCAGTACAGTCATGACGTACAGGTTGCAGACGTTTCTGATAAGTGTTAAAAATTTAAATTGTAAAAAATTGAAAATATTAATTTTTAATTGAAATGTTAGAAATAAATTAAGAAATTTGTTAAATTTATTTAACTAAATGAATGATGGTGAATACATTACAAAAAATATTAAATTAATTCATAATATGCAAAAATTTTATTTAGTATTCTTATTTCTTCTCTTTTTATAAATTATTAATTGAAATTTTAATCTCTATTAAATTATGCAAATTATTATTCTCATTTTATATTTATTATTCTAAATTCATTTTTATTGTGCTTGCAGCTTGACTTCTATGGCTTCCTTGCCTGGGCCATTGTGCAGCGCATCACTCTGCCGCTGTGCATTTTCCACCGTTTCCACTCGGCCGTCGCTTTCGCCGAGATTTGGAAGACGAGCTACAAGCCGCGGTTAGAGTGAGATGAGGAGGCGCCTCCCCTCGGCTGTTGTGGCTGCTGGGCCGTGGGATGCGTCTTCTCACCTCCTCCTCCGGCAGGTTCTGAGCCTCCGCTGACAGCACCCCAAACCTCATCGAAACCTTCCTCGCCGCGTGCCGGCACCTCGCGCACCCCCACCCGCGAGATGCCGTCAGTCCACGAGAATCCGCTGGCCAAGATTGAGTCCTCGAAGGGCGCCAAGAAGTCCAAGTCGTCCTCCAAGGTCGAGAGCCCCGTCGAGGTGGCCGGCGACGCCAAGCTGACCCCCTCTAGCTCTGGTATCTTGAAGAAGCCCAACCAGGACAAATACGCAGGCCAGCCAATGCATGAGGCCCCCACCCTCACTCGCTACCCAGAACCTGTCATCCAGGAGACCCTTCCTTCCAGGGGCAAACTGAATCAGCCCAAGGTTGACTCGCTGCCCCTCAAAAATGCAGCCACACCCATTCAGAAGTCACCTCTGCAGGGTGGCTCTGCAGCACCTGTTGATCCCGTCATGAAAAAACAGACCCCGACAGATCACGTCACCACTCCCTTGGGATCAAGTTCATCTTCAAAACGCTCGCCCACACCTCCCACCAGGGAGATGACGCCGCCGGAACTCATCAACAAACCAACCTCGCCAATGTCCTTGACGGGGCCTCCGGTGCTGCCACCAAAAACGTCGCCTCCGCGCGAGTTGCCGACGACCAAGACTTTCCACCCCTACTCGGTCCCAAAACCGTACACATCGATCATGACTCAGGATCTGGGCCGTCAGAGGACGCCCGAAGAAATTATTTCAGGCAGAAGCAAATCTTCAACTGCTTCGTCGCCGCGCTACATGGATGAGACGCCGTCGCCGCAGGCTGCCCCTCTGTCAAAGGCAATGTCTCCGCCGGCTTATGTGTCTCCTCCGGCCGTTTCATCGCCACCACCGTCAATAGTTTCACCCGTTTTGACGCAAGTGTCACCAGTGAAGGCCGAGTCGCCTCCACCCCCGCTGCCGGTCAAGACCAAAACACCCACTCCGCCGCAGCAGGCATCACCTCTGGATGACTTCACGCCGGTGGAGGTTCCAAAGGTGGAGTCGCCTCCGCCACTTCCGGTGAAGACGAAAACGCCTACGCCACCAAGAATCGCATCTCCGCCAATGAAAGAGAAGACACCTACCCCTCCGAGGGTAGAATCACCCCCAATGAAAGAGAAGACACCTACCCCTCCAAGGGTAGAATCACCCCCATTGAAGTTGAAAACCCCGACTCCGCCTAGAGTAGAGTCGCCGGAGCTGAGAACAAAGACTCCACCCAGGGTGGAAAGTCCAGAGCTGAAAATGAAGACTCCAACCCCTCCCAGGGTATGCTCTCCACCCCTGAAACAGAAATCGCCTACCCCGCCGAGGGTAGAGTCTCCACCTTTGAAGCTCAAGACTCCGACGCCGCCAAGAGTAGAGTCGCCACCTTTGTTACACACAAAAACGCCGACCCCACCGCGGATAGAGTCCCCTGACCTGTTGGAGCAGTTTATCAGGGAATTGAGTCCACCCTTGAAGACGAAGACGCCAACGCCGCCCAGGGTGGAGTCGCCGGACATAATCAAGCATCAATCGCCCATTGGCACCTCATCGCCCATCCTCGACTTCACCACCAGGTCACCGTCGCCACCAAAACCAAGCAAGGCCAAGACGCCGTCACCTCCTGAGTCGCCAGTTTCGCAGTCTTTCAATCCGCCGCCGCCTAAGGCCGAAAGTCCTCTGGCGTTCGTGCGCCAATTCTCACCACCACCCACGGCGCAGTCGCCCCCGAGACGCATGCCGTCGCTCAAGGACGACATCTCGCCGCCGCAATCACCTCAGCGGCAGGAGAGTCCGTCACCCCTGCAGGAGCTGCCACCCCCTCGCCAGGAGAGTCCGCTCTCGTTGGGCAAGGTGTCGCCACCGCCGATGTTGCAGGAGGAGTCTTCGTCCTCGTCACCATGCTCGGAGATCACCCCTCCGCAAAAGGCCTCGCCACCACTGCCCAGTCTGCGAAGTCCAACCCCTGAAGGGGTAACCGCTGTGCACAAGAGTCCCTCGCAGACCGAACCGGACGTGGTGCCCCTGTACATGCAGCAATCGTCGACCACCCCTCAGCAGGAGCAGTTCCCGATTCCTCCAGAGTCGCCCGAGATTGAAATTCCGCCGCCGTCTTTCGAGATGCCCGTCGTGCGGCAGGAGACGCCGTCGCCGACCTTTGACATCTCGGCGGCCTCGCAGGTGCGCGTCGAGTCGCCCGCCTTTGAGATACCACCACCAGCAGCTGTGCATTCGAGTTCGTCGCCCCCGAGGCAGCAGTCGCCAGACCTGCTGCCGCCCCCAGGGCGAATCTCTCCGCCACCCCCGTTGGACATCATCCCACCCCCGCTGCGGCAAGAGTCGCCCCCGCCACGGGACGAGACGCCGTCGCCCAATTTCTCGCATGAGACGCCACCACCAACACCTCAAGACCCGCTGGCCTCAGTTGAACCCATTCTGCCGCCGCCCCCGCCAATGTAGATTGCTTTTTTCCGTTGTTGAGGTCGTTTTAAGGTGACCAACCTGGCGGGAGGCGCCACCTTTTTCGTTCTTTTTTTGGTAAAAAAAGCAGATTTTGCCTCCAAAGCACAGACTTCTAAATTAAGTATATTTGAGAAGACGGAAAAAATTATGGCATGTTTGAGACGGACGGCGTGTTCTAATCATATATTTGCTGTATTTTTGAATCCTACACTTACACACGAACGGGAGTGCGGAGGAGTATTTGAAAAAAAAATTAAATGGGAAACAAGTGCAAGACCTCGGCAGTGAGAAAAGAGCAGAACTAACAATAAGGGATGATGTCGGAAATATTAAAAAGAATTCCGTGTAAATTTTATGTAAAAGACCCTATGTCTGCAAACAAATGCGAAAATTTGGCGTTGATAATTAAGATCGCGAATGCTGAGGGGAATAGATGGGTTGAAGACTTACAAAAACAAACTAATGTTATATCACAAAGAAGGGCTAAGGAACCGTTGAATCAGAGCGAGTCGTGTTACAGCATAAAATTATCACTGCCTTTTTCAGAAAATTTCACATGCAAGACGAAAAGCATCCACTTTTTATGGCTTAAATGTTTACCTTTAAAAGAATTCAATGTCGCTTCTGAGCCGCAATTATTGTCAAATTGCGAGCGTATCTAATTAATTATTATTGATTATACAAAGAAAAACCGTAGATCAGAGATGCGAAGAAATATATAATCTTGCGTTCCATTTTAAATGGTGGCTATAAACGTGCGAACTTGTGGACCAAAAATATGACCCGAGGAATGAGGCAACGAGATTTACACTGTAGAGAGATAAAAGCAGCTCATCTTTGCTGAAAACCTAGGTGTAGCAGAGGACGGAAATTCAATAGTAGAGAGGGTGAAACAAAAAAACAAAAAATGATTGCGTGAATTTTGTAAAAGGTCGCTGTAAAAAAAGCCCCAGCTGAAAAGAGTTAAAGGAAACCTTTTTGATCGCACAATCAAAAAGATTGAATTTGATATACACACACTTTCTTCGTCAAAGTCATTAAAAATATATATTGTCTCTACACCAATTTTGTTATACGAACTTACATTCCCGGACTGCGGTTTACACGCGTCCTCTTGTCGCAGAAGTATTGTGCAAACCCACACACTACTCTAACTTTTTTGATAAAAACTCTAGCTAAACGAGAGCGTTGTATAAAAACACACAACTTTACTAAAAACCCTTTTTCATCTCCTCCATATATTATAACAAAGAAAGAGCCCGAGATCCTTCCATGCGCGAAAAGCAGTGTAGGCGTTGAAATTTTCTGTCGTACGTCTCTTGATTTCCAGTACAAATTAATAAAATTAAATAACACACGGACCCAGGGCAGTTGTTTTCACTGTGAATGTTGTTCAGTAGTTAACTACGAGACGAGTGTCTTAAATTATATTTTCTGCCCGACGCGACTTCTGCTCGCTCGGCGCGGCGAATGTGGGAGCAATCACGAGCCCATTTTTCGACACTTGCATACTCAATTAATGAAAAAAACAAAAAAACGATACCAGTGGATCAATTTTCTCTTTCATAAACACTCTGAACTGCCAAATTGTCGTCTAGTTTTTATGATTCAACTTTTTCGCTGCTTCGTTTGTTACGAATAATATGTACATTTAAAGGTTTTACGCGGAGATACAATTATAACTAAAATGAAAGAGTTAAAAAATTATTGATGCAGCTCACTTTGAATAGTCACAATTTTTGAGTCACTGATGATTTGTGTTTTTTAATTGTAAAATTAATAAGTGGCCGTAGCACACTCAAGAGTCATGTAAATGTAAAGATATATAATTGATTTTATGTAATTATATTGTAGGGCAAAATGAGATTTATTGAGAGATGCACATGATGAAAAAAATCGATGATATTAAGTGTACAGAAAAGAAAAACGAATAATTTATGACGTTGCAATTTTAGCTGCTTGAAAAATACCGAAGAATACCAAAATGGAAATTTGAATTAAATTGACTGATGAGTAATTTTATTGTAATAATTTGCTTTTTGCTCGAGGATTGCAATTTTGAATTGAAACACCCACGATAATATTTATCCTAAGTATAAAGTTAAGACGCAAATCGACATTTTTGGTAGACTTAGGGAGAAAAAGTAATGCCAAAAATCAGTTTTTTACGCTCTTCAGCAGTAATAAGTGAATCAAAATTTTGCTCATTTTTCATCTCGGAAAGAAAAACAAACGCATCACACCCTTTTGTGTCACCCTTTGGCCAGCAACATGATTGTCACATATATAATTAAAAGTGCTGATTGTTTGTGTGTGTGACGATTTTGGTGTCAAAAAAAAAAATGTATAACGTTTGTTGTCTCTGGAAAGCTGTGCAGAGCCCACTTTCATCTTTGTCTTTGCAGCACGAGACATGATCGTAGACACTTTTAATTAATCCCTTTCATCTTTACAAAGAGAATAAAAAGGCGTCTGGGAGGTATCGAACAACTAAGGCTCGATGCAAGAGTTACTCGTTTGGCGTTCAACGACACGAAATGTTCAGCACCGCCTTCCCAGCGCTTTTGCCAACTAATAATTATTTACACGCGCATTACTACAATAACCCTTTTTGTACAAAAAATGTTATATAACTGTTTGTGTACTCTTAAGATAAAAATCCTCTTTGTGGTAGTCATCTTAATATATCAATTAAAAAAAAATATGTAATAATTGAATAAAGAGAGAAGATAGTAGACAAATATTGTGTAGTTTTATTTTCCGCGCCTTCCCCCGAAATGTATTTGTATTAAAATTAATTAAAAACTTATTTTCATTAATAACAGAGTTATAAGCATAAAATTTATTGGATAACAAAATAAATAAAATAAAATACCTTATCAATAATTGAAATCAAACGTCTGGTGAGTGTCAAGCCACTCGAGGTCTCCCTTGCTATTTTCAGTCAGGGTGCTTTCGTAAAAGTCCATCTTGCCAACATCGTCTATCAATATCACAGTGTGCGTCCTAATTTGAAGACAGAAGTTAAAGATGTGTTTACAAAAATTTTCTTATCAGTTGAATACAATATAAATATAATTATCTATTTCAAAACAAACAAATTAGCTCCATTTCTCACCTCGTTCCGTACACCTTCTCAGGTACATTCACAAATATTGAGCTGTAGCTTTTTAAAAGTGGCTCCAGTTCACCCCTCATTGATAAAATCGGATCAGGCCAAAATCTATAAATAAAAGAGGGAATTTATTAAAAACAAAATTTAAAAGAAATCTTATACTTTGTGTCTGTCTTTGCGAAAGAAATAAGTTGCTCGATTAATTCTCTCTTGCATTCGGTGCTGTCGAGTTTGCCGATGACTTCTTTGAAGAGCTTCAGACCTTCTTTACATTTATTCATAGGTGTGGGCAAAGGAGAGTTACTGATGGACTCGGTCACCTCGTCCGTCTGCAAAAGGTCGATGGGCCCCATCGATCCTCCCGAGGGCAAGTGTGCCAGGTAATTTATCAGGACATCATTTGGTCTATAAATGAAATAAAAATATTAATTAAAACAATTTTAAAGAAAAGACAATCATACAAAATTTCAAATGTAACTAAGTGGAAAGGATTGTGCTGGTCCGCTTTTTCTGCAACTTTGGCTTCATATTCTCTGCCGCTGATTGAAGGGTCTTTAACAAAATCGGTCACTATGTTTCCTCTGCTGATTGCATTCGGGTTCAAGGTTTTGGTTGACAGGTTGAGCAGTGTAGCCAGACGCCCAGATTTTGAATTTACAGCCAGCCAGGTTCCTCCCTCAGCAGAAACTTGAAGGTCACGTCCTGAAATTTGTAATAGATTTAAAAAAAAAATCTTTAAAATTATTAAAAATAAAATAACCTCCAAAAATGTCAGGACATTCTGCCCAAAAGTGTGCGTGCTTTGTAGGTCTCTTAAGACTCTCGTCCCGGTTGGACACCAAAATCAGCCGGAATTTGCCCGGAGAGGCGATTTTCTTGGCGTGGAAGAAGAGGATGCACATTGTAGACTGTCAGCCGCGTCCTATCATTTTAGATTCCGTAAAAGCCCTGCAGAAATTATGACAAAAGCAGGTTGTGACATAATTTTACTTGAAAGTAAATAAAAGATTAAAATTAGCGCCGCCTCCAGCTGTCCGGCACTCTCGCGGTGGTGCTGCGAAACTTGAGAAATTATGCAACTCGCAATGTCAGAGTGCACCGCGGAACAGCATGACTGATATTCCTCAGGGGCTTTATCGATGCTATGGGCCGCCGTAAATGAGTCACACAGTTATTCATCGGTGTGGTTTTTAAAAATTCTCGCCTAGGGGAACTTTTGAAGCATTCCCGCACAATTATTCAACGATCGCGATATCGTCGCGATGCACTTTCTATTAAGATCTGACCAATCAGCGTCGAGGATTCCGTTCCATGCCCTTACACTCCCACTTTCCACCACAATTCCACATGGCACAAAAACACGCACGATTTGAAAGCTGCTGAATTGACGAGTTCAGAGATTTTTTAGTCAGATTTATGCTCTAATTACGCAGTCGGAGATCAACCATGAGTAAAAGCAGCAATGCCAGTTGTGCGACCAGTGGCAAAATGAGTCAGGTAAGTGGCGGCCTGAGGCTGGAAAATTAAATTCGGCTGATGAAACTTGGTATCAACTTATACCAGATGGGCCTGCACAACATTCCTTTCCTTGTTTTAACGCACTTTCCGATTTTTCCTAATTCGGCCCTTGTCTCGACAGGAGATTCGGCTGCAGGCTTTAAAATCCGAGCCCGAATTGGAAGGGCTGAACGGCTATTTGGCCAGCGCGAGTTACTTGAGCGGCGAGGTTCCCACCAAAATTGATCGGGTTGTGTTTGAGGCCCTGCAAAATCCTCCCAACCCTGACAAAGTCCACCTTTCAAGATGGTATAAGCACATAGCAAGTTTCAGTGCTGAGGCGCGGTCAGACTTCACGGGGGTCAACTGTGACCTGACCGGAATCTCCGTGGCTCTAGGAAAATTGGAGGTGAGACTTTTTCTAACACTTTATTTACTTTTGACAGATTTCTAATCTTGAGTGAATCGGCCGTTTGCGAAAAAAAATGTATTCACTCATCAGATGTGTCGCTCGGTCCAAGACCTTGCGACTCTGCTCTATTAAGGTATCCAGAGGGGTTCAAAAATAATTTAATATTTAAATTGCAAAATAAAATCTAATAAATTTTTGCTTCCAACAGCTTCCTAAAAGTGTTTGCTCAACTGAAGCTGCGCCAAAGAAAAAGGGAAAAGGAGAGGACAAGGTTAATTTGAAGACTGCAAAGGGCACCAGGGACTATGGTCCCCAGCAGATGGCCCTCAGGACTGACGTCCTTGAGAAGATTGTCAAATGCTTCCACAGACACGGAGCCGAAACCATCGACACACCAGTATTTGAATTGAAGGTTAATTAATGTTAACTCTCTTGCAAATAATTAAAATTTATTCTTACTTCAATCATTAAAATTACTTTAATGATTACAGGATGTTTTGACTGGCAAATACGGAGAGGACTCAAAACTGATTTACGACCTGGCCGATCAGGGTGGCGAAATTTTGTCGCTCCGCTACGACCTGACCGTCCCATTTGCCCGCTACGTTGCTATGAATAAAATTAGCACAATCAAGAGGTACCAGATTGCCAAAGTTTACAGACGAGATAACCCCGCCATGACAAGGGGCAGATACAGAGAATTTGTACAATGTGTAAGTTAAGTTTTTTGTACAAAATCTTAATCAAGAGTTATAAATTAACAATTTTTTTTTCAAATCATTCTTGTTATTTTTATTTTCTAAAAACTACAATTTAAGAATTTGGCTTATTGTAAAGCTAAAATTAAAATAAAAAATTAATTGTTAATTTTTTTAGGATTTTGACATTGCTGGTACGTACGACCCTATGTTGCCAGACATTGAGTGTGTCAAGGTTGTGTGTGAAATTCTTGAGGCCCTGGACCTGGGATCCTTTACTGTCAAAGTGAACCACCGAAGACTGCTGGACGGTCTTTTCGAAGCTTGTGGAGTCCCTGAGGAAAAGTTCAGGACTATTTGCTCGGCAGTTGATAAGCTTGACAAAGTATGTATTAAAATAGTCAGTTTTTATTGGAAATTTAAATTAATGTTTAAATCATCAGTGCACCTGGCAAGCAGTAAGAGAAGAAATGGTTGGAGAGAAGGGTCTTTCAAACGAAGCTGCTGACCTTATTGGACAGTATGTTAAGCTCAGTGGTGGCTTAGAACTGGTGGAGAAACTCCAAGGTGACAGCCGGCTGAAAAATTCCAAGGCGGCAGGAGAGGGTCTGGAAGCAATGAAGCTATTCCTGCACTACTGCAATCTGTATGAGCTGACTGACAAAGTAAAACTTGATCTGAGTTTGGCACGAGGGCTCGACTACTACACTGGAATCATTTACGAAGCCATTCTCCAAGGTTTAATTTCAATAAAATTATTATTTTGAAAAAAAAAATACAAACAATTTTTAACTCGGCAGAAAAAGCTGGTGAGGAGTCTGTTGGCAGTGTGGCGGGTGGAGGTCGCTACGATGAACTCGTTGGCATGTTTGACCCAAAAGGTCGCAAAGTGCCTTGTGTTGGAGTCAGCATTGGCGTGGAAAGAATTTTTTCTCTGTTGGAGGCGAAAAAGCGTGATCAAGGCATCAGGTCTTCACCAATTGACGTTTACGTCGCCTCTGCCCAGAAGGGGCTTTTGGAAGAGAGGATGAAGATTTGCACCATGCTATGGAAAGCAGGAATTAAGGTAGGAATTCAAAACTTTAATTTCTTATCTAATATTCTCAGTGCTCTTGGGATCTTTTAACTAAGAATTGAAAAATATTTTTTACATTTATATATAAAATATACAGCAATATTTATTGGTAAAAAATTCATTATAACTCAAGTATCTCAATAACTCATAATTGGACTTAAGTAAGGAACAAAATATAAAGTTGCCTATTTAAAGATATTTACAAAAGTAATCCTAAATAGTAAGATGGCATAAATTTGCATTTTGTAGTAAAGATAGTAAGTAAGGAACAGAATATAAACCACCTATTTTTAAAGATATTTCTATTTACACAAGTAATAGTGAAAATACGAAAAGAATATGAAGATGCTCTAAGTTTGAATTCGATGTACAAATTTTACAGTGTTACAGTGGCCGGCCTTGACAATTCTGATTTCTTTTTTAAGTCCATACATTCATCCAGATATTTTGTTATCACTTTGACTCGGTAAGAGGTGAAGTCTTCTGCTTGAGGCAGAGCATTGTCGACTTCCACGATGTCTTCTCGGAAGCACTCAATTAGAAGCTTGCTCTTGTAAACAGCCTCGCACAAGCTTTTCTCGAGCTCCCGATTCCCATTGATGACAGCGAGGGGGTCTGGTAGTTCGGATATTGTGTAAAATTTCAATTTCTTGATATCTTCAATCGTTGTGGGTTTTAGGTCTTTTGGTTTTGGGGCTGGTTCTTCATCATCGCTGTCTAAGTTAATAATCTCTGGCGCTTTAGATTGAGGTTTTAAAGATTGGTCTGCAGGTTTCTTACCATTTGAAGCAGCGTCTAATTTTTGGGGAGGCTGGCTGGAGAGCAAACTTTGCAGCTTTTCAACAACGTTTTCGTACTGAGTATCGTCGATGATCTCGGCAATTCTGCTGCTTTTGACGGATTCAGGCAGATCGAAAGGTTTAAGTTCCAAGTTGTCTGAGGTAGCTGGAGCTCTAGAACGAATTGAAAGAGGTTCACGGTGAGTCTCAGCCGAGGTGGCATCTTGTGAAGGCAAAGAACTGCGAGTTGGAGGTTCTGGAGGTTTCTCTTGAGAGAGGTACTGATGGTGCTCCTCTTCGTGGTCGGATTCTCCGAACTCCGGAGCTGGAGCTGGTTCAGCGACTTCAGATTCCTCCTCGGCCTCGGAAGCATTCTCTTCCTCTTCAAAATCAGTTTCCTCGCCCTCTTCAAACTCAGTTTCCTCCCCATCCTCCTCAAAACTCTCCTCCTTCTCACTTTCTTCATTGTCAGACTCACCATTCTCATGTTCTAAGAAAAAAAAGTATTAGTTTAACTGTTTGCAAAACTAAAGGATATAAGCAATTTTAATGATGTAGGTACTTAAGGAACAACCAACCTGCTCGATTTTCCTGCCTCTGCATCCGTCTCTTTCTAAGCATCTCCAAAGCCTGCTGATTCCGCACCTTTTCAGGGCTGGGTGGAATCGTCCTCCTCTCTCTGATCTTTTTGGCTTCCTTTTCTTTTTCCTTCTCCTCCAGCTCTTTCTGTTTTTTCCTCTCTCTGTCTTTCAGCTCCTGCTTTTCTTTATCCCTCAGCTTTTTCTTCAGCTCTTCCTTTTCTTTTTCAAGCTGGCGGATCTTCTTGTCCTTCTCATTTTCCTTTTGTTTTTCCTCTTGCTTCTTCTTCTTCTCGCTGTCATCCTTCGTCTTCCTCCTCTTTGCTTTGCCATCAGCTGAATGACTTGAGTGGCGCCTCTTCTTTGCATTTTTGGAAGAGGATTTGCCGCGGCTGCCAGATCGAGAACGGGCCGGGACCTGGTGTGTGTCCTCGTCACCCTCGAATACGAACGGGGCCTGGTCCTCGGTAGACTTGCGGCGCGCCTGAGCTACCATGTTGATGTCTTTGACCTGGTTGCTGTAAGCATTCATGACCTTGCTGACGTTTTTGAGGTTTTTGCTGGCGTCGTACGGACGAGTGCCAAAGAGTTCTTGTTTCTTCTTTTTCTCATTTTGGCGTCTGTACTTTTCTTGCAAGGCAAGGACGCGCTCCTCAGGGTACTCCCTTTGCTGCTGCACAGCCGTGACGTGGCTGGCTTGCTCCATCATCTTTTTAGCCTGGAGTGTCTTGCGCGTCTCTTGCCGACAGTAGCCGGCCTTTTTCTTGGGGTCGGCTATCACAACGGGCTGCTCGTTGTGTTTCCCACTCGGCATCAGGAACATCTCTGTGTCCTCCTGAAGCCGCTTCCTCACTGAGCTCATTCTGATGTTGAACTGCAAAAAAAATTGAACAATATTAATTTTTTTGTTAATTAATGGACAGAGTGAAACAAACAATAATAATTTGATTTGTATAATATTTTAATTCAGTTAAAGTGATACGGACCCTCCCTTTCCCTCTTTTGAAGTTTAACTTTGTTGAAATACTTTTGACGGTTCTTAATTCCAATTAATTATAATCAATACCTCAAAATATTGTTTAAAAAAAAAATAATTTTAACCGAGTATTTTAGTTGTAATTAATAAAAAGGTTTATTACAAATTTTAAATATGTTTTAGGAAATTAAATTTCATAGGTCTTTCAAACAAATCAGATATGTATAAATTTAAGACGGTTATCAATGTTATAGAAAAAAGAAAGAAATATTAAATGGAAATCTTTTTTCAAGGTTCTCTTTCAAGGCTCTTTTTCCTAGATCTTTAAAAGTTTGATCCGTCCAAAGAAATTCTGTTTCCTTTAAACTGAATAATTACAACCACAACATTTGAGCTCGTCTTATTGTTTAATAATTTTGATAGCAATGCAATATTTCTATTGAGTGTGTCGAATATAATGTGACGAAATTCTGAAGGTCGAGTTCTGGAAACTTCTGCGACCCAATTATTCAGTGCGCACCATTATGTGAAAATCGAAGCTGGAATTTGCGTTCCATTTACAAGCAGAAGCAAAAAATTGCGCATTCATTGCAAATTAGGCATAAAAAATTATCCTTCCAACGAATTAATTTAGTTTTTTAAAGAATTTTAGCATAATATTTTGGGTTAGCAACAGCAGGCATGTTAGGCATAGCGGAATTCAAAACCGAAGATTTTACCTCAAATTTGGGCTGCTCTTAGCAAATTTATGGGTCCAGAGGGTAACTCTAATTGCATGGATTATGAGTAGCGAGTTTTATTGGTCTATATTTGAATTATTTGACCAATTTTTCATGAAAATTTGGCCCTTGGTAGTGAGGGCGTCATGTACGAAAGCGCATGGAATTAGAAAGTGGCTAGGCACTAGGCAGGCAAACATGGCTGCCTCGAATGCCTTTTAATGGCTTGAAGAATCAAAGATACCAACAAAAAAATGACAAAAATGCAGTGATGCCAACAACTAGGCGCTAGCAATTGATGGAGCGACCGCTAGATGGCACAAACATGGAACATTCTAGGTTCTGTGGAAAAATATGAACCTCATTTATTCATTTATAATAGACAAATGCCAACTAAACTGCCCAACTTGTGCCCAACTATAATGCGCTCTCCCTCTTTTATTCCATTTATTTATAAAGAAAGATTTTAAGGCTAAATATAACTGTAATTTTTAAGTAATAACTAAATTTAATTTTCATCTCATTTATATTTATTTTATTTTGACGATCAGGGTGTTTAATTCGACTGATAAGAATCTGGTTTGAATTAAAATTTGGTTCTCCTTTGATGAGTTATTTTTCTAATTTTTGTTATTTAAAAAAAAAAAATTGGTTTTCCACGAAACAATAATGCATCAGTGATATTTTAAATATCCATTCAAGCATAATAATAGTAATAATGAAAGTCTCTTTGTACGTTCTATGATTCATCTTTTTTGCCTTGCTCAACGCTCAACAGTTCTATTCTGGGTGCTGTTTATGGACAATTTCGTGGTGCCATGAACGGATCTGGTGTTAACAATAAATTTTTCCATCATTTGGCGGAGCGGAACGGAGAATTGATAAATTATTTAAATGGAAATTCGTCCTGCCGTGCCTTCCGCGGATAAATATTTTATTGTTCTCTTTCCAGTCCCTTCCTCACTGGACTCTAAGAAAACTTCACATTTCTCATCTCCAACATTTCAAATTCAGCTTATCACTGTGTCTTTTGTTATTATATTTACCAAGCTCTATCTGCTGCTGTAAATCGCTGTGCAGTCACCAAATTTGTCACTTGTGCTTGGGTACTTCTTAGCTGGGAATAACTTAGGAACCTGGCACCTTCTTAACTATTTGTTGAGGTTGGCTCAGGGGGTGATTTATAGACTCCAGCTTGCAGGATTTCGTCACGGTTCAGAAACTTACTTAAACCTCTTTATTTGCGTATGGCCACCTATAATCTAATATTTACACATAAGGTAATTCAGTATTTTTTGAAGAAATTAAATTAATTGTCAAATTAAAATGATTGAAATTTGACTTTTTATTTGCCAAAAATGATGCTTATTCAGAAAGTGTGGGTTCGGAAGGTTCTCTTGGGCGGCACTGATAATAAAATTAAAAAAACTCAACCCTCTGAAATTAACACACATAAAATTAAAAAATTAACATAATTTTAATTAATATTATCAAAATACGCAAAAATTGCGAGAAAAACTGTTAAATTTAAAAAAAAATATATTACATGACCTCAAAACCTGTTCTCAATAAATTTTTAATATTGACGAATTCTCAAACAATAAAAATTTCTGGCCTATTCTGATTGTGAAAAGATAAATATTTTTTAACAAAACTAAAATAATTAAAAATTATAACAATTTGTTTTAGACGGAGCAGTCTTACCGCGCAAACCCAAAACTGCTACCACAATTGCAGCACTGCGAGCAAAACAAAATTCCACTGGCCGTTTTGCTGGGCGAGAGCGAATTGGAGCGAGGCGTCGTCAAAGTTCGGATCGTCGAGACGAGAGAAGAAACGGAAGTGCCGCGCGACCAACTGTCCTCTGTGCTTTTGGAGAAACTTGCCAAACTGAACTGATTCCGTCAAACCTCTCCTTTTATACATCCAGCCAGCATAATTAGTTTTTTGAATAATAACAATTATTTCTGCTTACGCAACAATAAACAAAACAATAGATGTTTTGCAATCACTCGAACTTTATTTGTCAGACACATTTTTTGCTCACTTGCATATATTCTGTTGAATACTTTTTTGTTTGTAATTAATAATTCTTGCACTCACAGTTCACATCAGACTCACTTCCGAACTAACAGCTAATGACAGCATCTTGCGTTTTGTACCAAGAAAACCTTTCTTTTCGTCTTATCTGTCTAAAGAGGGCACGCTGAGATTTGTACGTTGGTTGCAATCAGAAATTGTTCCATGCTCACGGCGTTTTTTCAGCCGGCAGCTCTTTTTCTTTCCACCTGGACGAGCGTCGGGCTGGTGCTGGCGTTGCCTGTCGTCCGGTTTCGACATAAATGTTGGCCCTTCTGCACTGTTTTTGTTCTGAAACATAAATTGAAACCAAAATCAACATGAATTTATCCTTGAAATGTCAACTGACACAATGATAAATTATTCATTGATATAATTTTTTGTTCTGATTTACAATTTTAAATTTGTTCCCCAAACATGGTCTCGAGCTCATAATTCAATAATCAGACCATATCAATTTTTTAATCTGAAAACCTCCAGTAAAATGGCTCAGGAAAAATAAATTTTTCAGCCAGCAGAGTGCAAAAAAGTACGCACACGTGTAGGGAATTACGATTCGATTGGGCAGAATATTTTTGGCGGACGTGGTAATTCTCTCTCATTAGCCGGTCTGCATACCTTATAAGTACCAGAATATATCCTGTACCGATCGCTTATTGCTACGTGGGATTCTTGAGACCTAAAGCAGCTATTTTAATGTCATGCGCTTCAGCATCAACACAGTCAAAAGTAAACTAATTAAGAAAAGTAATTTCTTGACTTGAGGTATAAATTTGCAATTAAGTGTCGTATTTTAATTGGGCCACCAGCACTAGGATGATTTTCATTTTTCGTTATTTCCTAATTAGAACTACTGCAGGCATTGGAGACTTTTTATGCAAACGGACGGTTTTATAGTTGATCAAATATTTGTATTGACAGACTTTACTCCACGATCTTAAACCTCTGAAAGATCTCTTATGTGAATAATCTGGTTCCAAGTAGTTTCAAGCAAGTGATGGAAATAAAAGTTTTTGGAGTTAAATAATATTTTCCTAGTTTGAATGTACATTTTCCAAGTTTATATTCATGATTCAGAAAAATTACTAATCTTATTTTTTAATAACTAAAAAAAAAATGGGTTTTTTTTCAATTCTCTATACAATAATATTAATTGTACTTTATTCTTTAAAGAGAAATTAATTGTGCAAATATAGCAGAAATACAGTTTATTAATCGTTTTTGTTATGTACCAAAATTTTTGAAAGAATAAATTAAACCATCTATGTTAAACTTGAAATTAACGCAAGGACAAAAATTCTCTCAAGACATCATCATGAGATTACCTTGCATTGTTGAAATGTCCCCTATCTTGATGTTTTCTTAAGAATAATTATGCTATTCTACATATTTGTAGAAGAGTACACTAAATTTAAGCTATGTGAATTTTCTACAAAAAAAAATGTTCCAAGGCTAGCTTTTCATCTTGAGATAAAATATTACACGCGTTTTTGTCCAGAAGGCCAATTTCTATGCAAATTTTCAGCGGAAGAACTTGAAGAACGTCTCTTTTTTCTTTTGTGCGAATATGAGTTTCTTGCGGTGCTGGAATATAAAAATGATGGCAAGAATTGCGAAGTGCGGAGGTAATCGCTGATGGCACCCATTACGCTTCACTTTCATCCCGTATTAGTCGCATGCCCGTCAGTCAGCCCAAAATGGACCCTTGGGACAGCGTTTAAGGCAGTGGCGAAATTATCAATTCCGATCCCGTGGGCACGACGAAGAAAATTATGCTGCGCGCCCCACTATGTATTTATATGCGACGATAATATGAATGTGTAGAAACGAATAAAGCTGCACACTCCCAATTTTATCTTTATTTCCATCGCGAATACATAAACAATAATCCGTCCGTCGGCGAACACCGAAATCTCATTATTTCGCAGACGGGTGCATTGTTTTACTGCGCTAGGGTGTTTTCCCCGCGCCGAACACACATAAAAGGCTTCTGGATTACATGCGCCAGACCATTATAATTCGCTTTATATCTTCTTTTGGCGCGTGCATTGTGTTATTTCGGTGGCGTCAGCGAAAAAAAAAGACAATAATAATTGCACAAGGGGGCCGTCTCTCGTTTAATGGAATTTTTTTGGTGTCGTTGACTCCAGCTTGCATGCAAAGAGCAAAAAGTTTGAGTCACGCGTGTGCAAGTACACAACGATAATTGCTATGCATTGCATAGCATAAACATTTTTTACACTCTTAAGTGCCGACAATGAGAGGATGATTGTCTCGGTTATACAATTGCCGAGTAGCGCCATAAAAGCAGAGCAATAATTTCATGCCGAGTGGCCTGAGTGAGAGAGCGAAGTGGAGTTAAATTAATGACGTGCTTATTCACAAGCATAGACAGAGGCAGCTGATTTTAGTGGAGATTTTGACTTGGATTATATAAGGAGAAGCAAAATATAATCGAATAGAAAAAAGGGGATTACTGTTGATTAATTTTCTTGTATATTATCAATTAACACTTTCATAGCTTGCTTTTTGAGGAATAAAAAAAATAATGATATAAAAATAAATGTGTGAATCTGCTGATCTTTGGAAAGCAAAGCGCACCGAAAAAGTGGAAAATACCAAAAAAAAGTATGTTTTTCATTATGCTTTGAGACGTTGTGAAGCGCTCCAGCTACCTAATTTTATATTAATCCCTCAAGTAGCAGGTACCACAAAGCTTATAGCGAGCAATAAGAAAGTAATATTGTTAGAGCAGCTGACCAAAGAAATTTTTGAATGAAAAATAGCCAGCGGACGGGTTGCATATTTTCTCGATGCTTATACATACTAGATTTCTAAACCCTTGAATAACAAGACTAGTTGCGTGTTCGCTATTTTTTCTTTTATTTTTAAAAATACTTTTTTAACGCAAAAGCAATGAAACGGCATTCATTTTTCATGAAAATGTGCCACTATTTGGGGAAACGAATGAATTTGATCTTTATAGTTTAATGAAATTTCCTAGAGCGTTTTTAGTTTTTATGGAACGAGTTATCAAATAAGATAATATTACAAATGATTTATTAAATTTTCTTTTCTTTTCTTTGGCAATAGCTATTTATTTTGACACATTTCATATCAAAACATAATTAATTTTGTTAATTTTTATAATTAAAATTTATATAACTTAAAATAATCTATAATTTTATTGTTTTGATTTAATATAATTTAGATTTTAGATATATTGTGAATTCTTAATATAAGAATTTAATATAATAATTGAAGTTGTTATAGTTAGTGAATGAATTAAATTAGAATTGACTTCTTCAAACTGGCTTGGAATGATCGAGCTTCTAATTTTTTACTTGCTTTCTCAATACTAATAAAAAAATTATAATAAATAATAACCATTACCAAAGAAAAAAAATGGAACTCCGTAAAGGAAAAATTGTACAAAATTGTGAAGGATAGAAGGATTAAAGGAAATTATGCAGGCATCTAGAGTTTTATCGTCTATCATACTAGGCTTATGCTGGAAGCTGGAAATGAAAAAAGAATAGTTGCTCAGGTATACTGTGAGTGAATCTTTTAACTCTAAAAGGTTTGCAGCGGCTGCAGACTAAGAAAGAATTCCTGGGTCGTAAACCGAAAGTGAGGACACGAAAATCAGTTTTTATTTTGCAATTCTTTTACACAAAAACGGCGTAAGGCAATGTATCCTATGCGTCATTAAAACAGTGCGTTGAGCCATAAAATTGAGCAAAATTTATATCTACTTCTATGATCATAAAATCCTAGAGCGAGTGTTACCGCTTTAGAGTCTAACCAAGCAAAATTTTATGTTGCAATCAAAATAAGGAAAATAATCGTGCTTAAATTCAACCCTTTAGAGAGTGCTGTGGACGTGTGGACGTTTTTTTTTTTTAATTTTTATGTTTCAATAAATTAGCTTCACTATTCCATTATATTTTAAAATAGTTATAGTTACTTTAATTTTCTTCTCACTATTTTCAAACAAAGCATCCGGATATATTTATTAAAAAAAATTCCTCTTCTGTAAACTTTAATATTAAAAAAAACATCGTGCAAGAATATTATTTAAAAGTTAATAAGGGAAATTCAAATTTTAGTCAAAATGTACAGGACTTTCCATACAGACTTTACATTAGCCAATTATCGCAAGTAGCCTGAAAATAACTGCAACTCATTTTTAAACAGAAATTGACGTAGGCATGTAATATTTAATCTTAAAATTTACACGTCTCCTTTTGCACAATACCTAGATTTCGTTTCAAGAGTTTTAAAACAATTAATAAGCATTTTGTAATTTTCAATTTTGAATTTAATATAAAAATCTTTAAAATTTTAATGATTCCTATTTTTGACCGCTAAAAGTTATTTGAATTTTTTTTAATTCATTTTGAAAAAACCATATTAATTAAGAATTTTCTCAAAACTGTTAATTCTCTCTAAATATAAGATTGGATCAAATATTTCATTATTTAAATTATCTTCATTTCTATTTAAATTTTATAAATTTTGGCCGTTATTGATTTTACAAATCAAATTCGTTTACGCTAAATTTTATTGAACTAATATCAGCAATTCTAACTGCTTTACTTCGAGGCTAATTCAAAATGCCAAAATGTGTGCTGCCCACAAATGTAACCTTAGTAATTAGAAACCATGGGCGGGTCATCTTGGACTAGTAAAAAAATAAATAACAACAGCCCCGAGCCGTTATTCAAATCGGATAACATGAAATAAAACAGGTGTCCGCGCGAAAGGAAAACGATCAAAGCTTGTGCGTGCTGGAGTTTTTCAGCAAAGAGAGGCCACTAAACTCTGATCTGATAAACATAGAAGTGACGTGTCTGGCCGGGGCAGACTCACAAAGAGTAACAAATCTTCTCGCTCGAACCGAATGCAGAGACAATTCAAAGTCTTTTCACGACCCGAATGTCTGATTGTCTTGCAAGCGAAAAAAATCATTCGGTTCAGAAAAAAAGCAGTAGATGTAAACTTACCGAGAAGTTTCTCCAAGTACAAGCACTGATTCGAATTGTACAAGCCCTTGGGCGACGAGGACGCGCTGAACGTCTGCAGTTCCGCATCCTCGCTTCGTGATACTGGGAATAGGCTCAGCCTCGCCGCGTCCAGGTCTGAAATGCAGACAGGGTTTATTTTAATTTGGTTTTTTTCTGAAGTACTTATCAACATTAATAAGATAAAATTGAATTTTAATGCGGAATTCATTTTGGTATTGATGTTTTATAAATTATAATTTCAATAAAAAAAATAAGATGCTTACATAATTATTTCTAAAAACGATTCTCATTAACAGAGACACAGGTTAATTATTAAAATAATTTTTTTTAATATAATTATATTTTTTCCAAACTAATTTAAAATTTAAAAAGCTGAAATACAGAATATCAATTGGATTAATTGAAATAAAATGCTTTTAAAATTAAAAAGAATGTATTATTATAAGTGGAAGATAACAAAAATTAAATTAAACTTTCAATTTAGCAGAAAAATTTATTATTATTTATTCTTCTCGGTCAATACATAAAAAAAATTTTATGATAAAAGATGTTATTAAAAGTAAAATGAAATTTTTGATATTTAAAATTTGCTTTCTTAAAAAAAAAACGATGATGTAATTTACATGAAAAGAAAATAATTGAAAATTGTAATTTGATCCTTGAAATTAGTGCTCCCGCAGGCACTACTGCATAAGCCAGAGGTATACATATAATTTTATTCCAGACAATTCACAGAGTTGAGAATTAAATTATGGTAATCTTCGTTTCTCTTCATATTGTATTTTAATTTCAGCACGCGATCATGAAAAATAAATCCCTTTCTGTCGGCAGCATTTCACTTTGTGGCACTTTTAATGAAGTGGTTGCTCTGGTTTTGCCTTTTAATGTCTTCATTTTTAATCTCTCTGATATTGTGGCCGCTACTTAAAAACGATCTTGCTTAATGCAAATCGCCTCTCTTCCAAGGACTTCGGCGCATTTTAATCAGACAGTTGCACATTTCAAAATGCACGCGTCGATGCAAAAAGTGACCGTAAAGAGTCAATTTGAGACGCTCGAATTGAAAACAGGCGTGAACCACGTCGGCCTTTACGGCTCGGACAAAATTTATGAGTCTGCCTGCTGTCGAGTGAAAATTTAGCGCTGCAAGATTTATGCTTCCGACGAAAGCGAAATCCCGAACTTCGTTTTGAATTAAATTTCGATTTGATTTCTGAATAATAATATTTTTCCAGAACACGCTCTCCGCCGATAGTCATAAATAAGACGAATGCTAATTAAAGCCGTCGTCGGGGCGGGAAAAAGAAAATTAAATATGCAAATTATTGCCACCTCTAAAAGGGGCAAAATGAAAACGACCTTAAGATTCACTTCTTTGTACGCTGGGTGGAAATTCGCCTAATTGGGAAGCGCGTGGGGCGTCTCTGCGTCATACTCTCGATCTACGTGAAAATGTGCAAATCAGCCAAGGCGGCCCATAAAACCGAGGGAGTCGTTAATTCAGGATTAATGGCTGGAAATTGCTATCTTTTGGCATTACTTTGTTGCAGAATGTAGGTCGTAAATTGATTATAAACCTGAGATAGAGAGATATGTTTACGATCTAGAAAAAGTCTCTCCTAGTTTCTATGAATAACAAGTGGCAACCTCAAGGTACAATTTAATTGATTTTGTTGTATAAATATTCATAACAAACAATTCTGGACCACAAAATAGATTTTTTTGGCATGGGTTCGCGAATAAGCTAAACTAAAATTTAAACAACATTTTTATAAAAATGTACTAGAAAGCAAAATGAGAATTTAAAAAAAAAACTTTATATTCTGGTTTCTTTGCATTAAAAAACGTTTAGAATTATAATCTAGAGAGATATCAGAATTGAAAGTCAACCATAAGTTGAAGTACTAAATTTAGTAAAAAGTTTAAATATTCCAGTAAAATTGGCACAAAAAAGCAGTCAAATTTGTAACTAAAATCATAAGTTTTCAAATTGAAAAAGAATAATATTTTGCTAAGCCTTAAATTGATTATTTTTTATTATTTATCTCTCATTGATTTGTTCGAGTTCAGCTTTCAGCAGCATGCCAATAAACCCCGCGATCTTCTCCCGATGTAAATGAACTTGGCAAGTACCTTCCTCTCGCTAATTGAAAGCTGCACGTTCACCTGACGGAGCCAAGAAGCACTCTCGAAATTTCCAGTACATAACTTTGAGCAGTTTATTTGTGATAAATTGCGCGTACGTACACCCTCTCGGTACAACTCAAGGACAAAGCAATAACAATAAAATCGAAGTGCTCGGCCGCCGAAGCTCTTTGGCTCTGCGAAGCGAATCTATTTCAGGCCCACAGTGTGGGAACTGAAGTTGTCCTAGCGAGATTATCGCAACAGACGCATGTTCGCATGTACGAAGTGCACACCCGCGAGAGCACGCAGTAAATTGCGATTGTCCGCGCAGATTGGAGACATGCCACGCAATAAAATTGAAAGCGCCGCCAAAAAAATCATGTTCGTTTTTCTTTCTGTTGTGCCTTTCGAGGGCTTGAAATTTCACTCGATTATTCACACACCGCGAGTCGAACGACGTGACAGAGGATTGGTTTATTCTCACTCTGCTCCCTGGGATGCATTCCAAATCAGGCTCAATGAAAAGCTACTTAGGAACGATTTACGCTGCCGTAAGTGCGAATTGATTTGGGTCATTTGGCTCGACGCCTCCGTTTGACCAAATCGATATTACATTTAATGCACACTCTGACTTAAATCATTAAAAAACGCTTAAATAGCGGGTCTAATATACTTTATAAAAGAAAGACTTTAAAATTGGAATAAATGTATGGTAACACTCGAGGTGGATTTCATGAAAATTGAATGGAATAAATGTGATTAATTTTTCGGTGCGGCATTACAAAATAAAATAAAGTAGAAAAGGATTTTTTTTTAAATAGTTTAAAATATATTGGCAATTAAAAATATTTTTAATTTCCAATAGCTGGTTTTTAGTAAAATATTTGCAGCAGATTAAGCTAATTTTTAAATTTCAAATTCATTTCCTGAGAGTTTGGAAAAGCTGGGCATAATTATGGAAATATTTAAAAAAAAATTGCTGAATAAGTTTTGATTATGTTATTAAAAATTTTATCTGATGGAAAGTTAAAATAATAATTTTCTCTTGGCCAGTGACACATTTATTCAGAGCTCAACACGATGCCCACCAGCACTGGGCCGTATATTTTGTGGAATTTATTTTCTCTCAAAACAACAGAGACGATGTCGCGACAAAGCAACTCTGAAACACCCAGCAGCAGTCAAAACTATAATACCCTCACTTTACTTTATTGATTTAAAAAAAGGCTGCGTAGGCAAACACACACACTCAACTGTCATCAAGCGCGTGATTTGCAGACTATTATTATTGAAATGCCCTCGGCTCGCGAGACGGAAAATTGCCGCGAGAATTTGCATAAGCAATGAATCGGCTGAGATGCTCCTCGTCAGATCAAATATTTGCATACACATGTCTTTTGCGACTCCTACCGCCCGCATGCGATTTCACCAAACAAAAGTCCTACTTTGTCAATGGGTTGCCTCGTCAAGGAAAACTCCGAGCACTGCGGCGGCTTGCGAGCAATAAATCAGACGCAAGTACAAAGAGTGACCTCGACCTTTCGTTTTTTATAAACGGCCGAAAAGTAAACGCGAGAAGATAAAAAGAGGAGCTGAATTTCGCGCGCGTACCACCATTAAATTGTACACACTATGTATATCTCACTATGTAAAGGATAAATAGCATTTCTTTCTCTAAGTAAGTATAGTGGGTGGTCTGCAAAAAGTAACCAAGTTGATAGGCGCCGCGCCGTAAATGTTTACGCAGTCAAACAGTAGTTACTGACAATTTTTTTAACAGGCAGTAAAATCGAATTAACTTGTATCTACATTAAACAAGCAAATTAATACACTCTAAATTTCGATTCTAAAAATGTAAGCAGCAAGCAGTATTTTTGAAAAATAATAATAAATAAATAAAATCATACTAAAAAATTTATTTGGACTAAAAAAATAAACGTTCAAACTTATAGACCTGAATTTGACAAAAATATAGCGCTCGCTATATTTCTGTGTTTGGGAATGTGTGTAGAAATTTGTTTTGTTTCTCCGGGTCTGATGGACTAAAAAAATAAACGTTCAAACTTATAGACCTTAATTTGACAAAAATATAGCGCTCGCTATATTTCGGTGTTTGGGAATGTGTGTAGAAATTTGTTTTGTTTCTCCAGGTCTGATGGACTAAAAATATAAACGTTTAAACTTATAGACCTTAATTTGACAAAAATATAGCGCTCGCTATATTTCGGTGTTTGGGAATGTGTGTAGAAATTTGTTTTGTTTCTCCTGGTCTGATGGACTAAAAAAATAAACGTTCAAACTTATAGACCTTAATTTGACAAAAATATAGCGCTCGCTATATTTCGGTGTTTGGGAATGTGTGTAGAAATTTGTTTTGTTTCTCCAGGTCTGATGGACTAAAAATATAAACGTTTAAACTTATAGACCTTAATTTGACAAAAATATAGCGCTCGCTATATTTCGGTGTTTGGGAATGTGTGTAGAAATTTGTTTTGTTTCTCCTGGTCTGATGGACTAAAAAAATAAACGTTCAAACTTATAGACCTTAATTTGACAAAAATATAGCGCTCGCTATATTTCGGTGTTTGGGAATGTGTGTAGAAATTTGTTTTGTTTCTCCAGGTCTGATGGACTAAAAATATAAACGTTTAAACTTATAGACCTTAATTTGACAAAAATATAGCGTTCGCTATATTTCGGTGTTTGGGAATGTGTGTAGAAATTTGTTTTGTTTCTCCAGGTCTGATGGACTAAAGTAATAAACGTTCAAACTTATAGACCTTAATTTGACAAAAATATAGCGCTCGCTATATTTCGGTGTTTGGGAATGTGTGTAGAAATTTGTTTTGTTTCTCCAGGTCTGATGGACTAAAAATATAAACGTTTAAACTTATAGACCTTAATTTGACAAAAATATAGCGCTCGCTATATTTCGGTGTTTGGGAATGTGTGTAGAAATTTGTTTTGTTTCTCCTGGTCTGATGGAC